CTGGCAAAAATGAGAATGCTGCTTGTCACAGGCAGGCAGCTTCATCGAATTAACGTGCCAGTGGCTGGCGGGGAAGAGCAACTTCAGGCTTTCAGTATTTCTGGCCTTTTCTGGACCATTTAATAGAACACTTCAATGAGCGCTTTAAAAAGCGTCGGCACACCTTGAAGATGGTTTCTTCGCTTCTGCCACAGAACATTCCCGAATTTGCCACTCTTCTCACTGCCGAGAATTTTACTGACGTATATACTCGGACATTATCTCAACGTCAGCATTGCAAGGGGAGTTAGCAGTATAAGATGTGAAATGGAAGCGACAGAAGCGAGAGACACTGAAAATCCCTTTGACAGCATGGCAGAGTGATTCCGTTCTTTCCCGTTGCCTACGCCTTGCTTTTCAGTAGCACCTTTCACCTGCAGACGTGGTTGGCGGATACGAAAGGTGTGAACGACAATGCAACAACCCAAATTTGCATGTGGTAATACTAGCAAGTTTTGGGAAACATATGGGGCATATAATGTGACATGCAATGCGCAGGGTAATCTTTGTGTCAATTGAAAAAGATTATCAACAGTGTTCCGCTATGTATTGTGTCTGCGGCGTGAGACAATGCTTGCACAAAGTTTCATTTCTTGTAAAAAATTATGGTTACTGTGTATACTGTTCGTAATTTTACTCAATAACACGCCCACCCATGTTTCTCAATTCTGTGCATTTCTTGTCGTGCGTCATGTCGCTAGTTGCAGGAATCGCTCGGTGTGCCCTTCTAGTCATGTCAACGGAAAGAAACGAACAGATGAAGGGAATCAATATAAATAATTGGTCGTACATTTTTTCAGCTTTATGTTCCTTATTCTTGCGCTGTTTGCCACAGTGTTGAACGACAAAGCTTGTGCTCACTATAGCTTCCGACGCTGCATTTCTCATCACGCTGCTTTAGGTTTATGACCCCCATGTTTTTATTTATGAGGCTAAGTTACATGATGAACATTCTATAGGCCTTTCTAAGGCTGTGAGTAGCCTGCACGTTTGCATGTGTTGCATCTTCGTCACTAGACAACACTTCGGAGTGCCTTAGACGTTAGGGCATAGTAAAGATATGTGTAAATATATTGTACACTCGCATACAGGCCGAGTTATGTGCATAAACGGAATATTCTGTCGCGCATGTGTGCGTGCTTGCGTGTGTGTTTAGATGTTAGCAGAACCTGTGAAGGTTAAATAGAAATGTTATTCTTTGGATTGAGTATATCTTGTCACGAAGAGAGTCACATGCACTGTAATATGCTTGAACGTGGCCTATCAGACCTTGGAACTGTGTCTGGCTATTTCCATTAAAACGAACCTCTCGCTTTTGAAAATTATCGCAGTGATCGACTCTTGCGAGACCTGTTCCAGTGGGTACAGTATGACCACCGCTTGTGCATTAATCCCGTCACCGAACCAGGGGCGGCGCCAGGGGGGGGGGGGGGGGCAAGGGTGGGCTGGAGCCCCTTCAAAATTCTCGCCTGCCCCCCCTATGCCCACCCAAGTGCCCGGAAGCATATATTGAAAACCTAGTAGGAGCAGAGCTAGCTTGCCCCCCCGGAGGAACTCACTTTTCGTGGTTGCCCCCCCAGTAAAAACATCCTGGCGCCGCCCCTGCACCGAACCAACTTAAAACACTCGCGGCCGAGATTCCTGCCCAAAATCTCACAGATTGCTAATCCTTCAGAAACACCGCGACACGTTTTTGCGCATGCAGACAATTCATTGTATAAATGTGCCCAGCAATGATAATGTTATAGTAGCAGTGCTTAGTTTCTAACTCAATGCAGCGCGAAGCGACGAGAAAAAAAAATAAGTTGAGTAAGTTGCAAGAGGGGGGGGGGGGTGTTGAACAGAAAATTTCGAGGAGGGTTTGAACCCCTCACCTTGCCTTCGCCACTGTCTCATAGCGTTGGCCTAGCGAGCGAACGTCCCTCGCCATGCGTCGCATCTGCCTCGGCGCTGCGCTGCGTCGCTACGTGACTACGTCTGACGGGGGGAACAACCTGACGGGGGAAACAACCTGATGGAAGTCGATGAAGCACAGCAAAAAATAACGCAAATGTGGCACGCCAAGTATGTGACTCTGCCCAGCAAGGGCCTGCTCGTGTGAGGGAAGCCCTACAAGCATGGTGTCGCAGTGACGTCATTGACGCTTTGGTAAACGGGTCAGTGGAAACGGGGATCACTGGGTGCCCGTACGACGCACTTCCTCACGCTTCACAATTGTGGAGCTGGCATACGTTTTTTTTCTCTCTCTCTCTCCGCCATTCCTTTCTTTGTATTTCCACCTTTTTTTCTTCTTTATACCTTTCCTTCTCTCTATTTTCTCTTTCGCTTTCCTTTAAGTCCTTCTCGCTATATATAGTTTATCACGCCTTCTATCTATTTCTTTCTCCCCCCCCCCCCTTTTTTTTTCTATTCCCAGCTTTCTCTTTCTGTACTTGTTCTCCCTTCCTCCACGGCTCCGCCACATTCCCTGCTAAATCCAACGTTTTGCTAGCTATATTATGCTCTCCTCGCCGCCGCTGGGTTCCGTAACCAGTTTCGCACAAAATAAAAAAACAAAAACTGAGTAAATAATAAAAAAAAAACACTAAGCTCACTTCTCGCGAACCAGCAATGGGCCGTCCAGCAGACCCACGAAGCGGCCGCCAGGTATTCCCTGTCGGTTCTTATATACGTGGGAGACGCCCGCTGCTACACGCTAAGCGCGTATACGTCCATGCCGGACAAAAATAAAGTGTTTTCCATTCCATTCCAAAGACACTGTGAAATTCGAAGCCGGGTCTCCTGCGTGCCAGCCATTTTACCGCAGAGCCATTTCGGTGCTTCGAAGGCAGGCTTGATCTCGGGAAAGGAATCGCGTTAGTATGAAAAATAAAGTGTTCTAGAACACAGCAACGAAGCAACCAGGCGTCACACAATGCGAATTCCGTAACGAATGGGTCGTCCACTGCTACGAACCTTTAAAAAAGCTGTAGCGTATGCATGTAGAAGATACCGTGCTTCTCCGAAGATTAAAAAAAAATATAGCATGGTGAATACCAGGCTACTACACAAAAATTGTGATTATTATTGCTCAGTGGATACCCAACAACTTTGCTTGTAGCCGTAACCCAAACAGTGCTTAGAGGCTCGAAAGGCCTTTACCAGCTTTGATTGTGCTGCGCGTTCCGCGCAAGCCTGGGCGGTTTTTTTTTTTTTTTTTTAGGGCGAGGCTTCTTATAGAGGCACCCGTTCGTCCCTCGTGGCTTTAGTAGTAGTAGTGTGTAACAAGTATTGCATTTTGACCTCCAAGGTGGTGCCGTTGAGAGATTTCTTCTGTGCGTTGATGAACAATAAAAGATAGTGCTCAATGTACATGCCAATTGCTGCTAAGGGGGAATGAGATACAGGAAAATTCGGCTTTTAGTTAACGCGCACGCTGCGAATTTTTTATTGTTCAACAACGCACAGAAGGCAAGAAAGGGTTGCTACGTTATACTCGCTGGGCGTAACCTCCTATGTTTTATAAAGGTTTAGCGAGCGTTGGGCCGCAGGGCCATGAATACAGTGAACTAATATATACCATGAACTCGAGGTGACTAAAGGTGGGAAGTAGACACGAAGCGCAAGCCGTAAGAAAGTTTGCGTGTGCCTCCTCTCGTTCAGTCCTTGAAATGTCCGCTGGATGGCGGTGCTTCTATATGAGGAATATATGATGAAAAGATGCGAGATGATGGTACTTGGAGTGTTGAATAGATGGACGAATGGACACACAGACAGATGCACGGACGGACGCACGGATGGCTGCACAGATGGATGGACGCATGGACGGACGCAGGAGCGGATGCATGAACGAAAGCATGGACGGACGCACGAACAGACGCGCGCACGGACGGGCGGATGGACGCACGGGCGGCCACACAGACGCACGCATGGATGGACGGAAGCAAGAACGAATGGACGGACGGATGCTTCTCCCCACTATCCATCATTCACTCCGGGGATATGCTGCCATTTTTTTCGTCTGCGTTTATTTTTCTTCATTTTTCTCTGTATTTGCTTTTTTGCCCTTCAGGGTTCACCCTTCAGAGACTGCATTACATCAGCAGAGGTATATTTAATCCCTGTTTTAGGTTGTAAAGTACGCCCTTCAGAGCTGACTACTTACATCAGTAGAAATATGTTTGATCGCTGTTTTAGGTTGTAAAATAATTTCTTGAATTTATGTTCACCCTGTACTTGCTGTGAAATTTAGCTTACACCTCCCATTTATGACATCCACTATCATTACAGTGTACTAGAATGTTGTGGACATGTTCTGCCAGTTAGTTCTAGTACATTGTGATGTTTTAAAATACGCGCTGTTTTAGTAGTTGGCAGTATAGTGCTGCCATCTCACAGGACTTCGGCAAAACAAACAAAAAAACTGAAGGCTTTATTTGAAGCACGACCTCCAAGATTTCAAACTGTTAAAAAAAAATTTCAGAGGCTACGTTTACCTTTTTCTCAAAGGTATGTGGATTTCAAATTTGTAAGTGTTCGCAAAACACTTTGACAAACTAAATTCTCAATTGTTGGGTATTTTTTTATACAAAAGAAATATTTTAACGGCACATTACTCAAAAGCACAATTTTATGTGCTCAGTTGTGTGCAAAACTTTTAAAACGCCTTTAAACTATTGTCAAACGTCACTGCAAAAACAAAATTGTTTTAAAAAAAACTGTAAAATGATAAATTTAAGACGTACGTCACAAATTCATCAGTCACAAAATGTAAAAAAACAAGCTAAACCCTTAAAAAAATCAATACAAAATTAATAGTTAAAAGTTTAGTGTTTATTATTGTTTTATAACAGTGTAAATACAGTTTTTTTGCGTCACCTGGCGATAATATTTATCACCACCACGCGGTCTCTATATTGTCAATATTAACTTACAGATGGCGCGGCGGTAGCGAGCGCAATTTGACCCGCTGTAATTTATCTGTGCCATCTTACGATCCCTCATTCTATGGCCCCTCTTCCGGGCTGGACGCTTGTGATGTGATACACGTCTCTCATTGAGAACAGTGCCGGCTCTGGAACGGAGGCCGCTAGGACGTTGAAAACGCTTCAACGAGCTCTTCAGTGCGGCGTGATTATACCTCCACCGATTCAGCCATGAGTGTGACGCAAAAAGTTGCCGAGTGGTTAAAGTGGGACAAGGTAAACGCGTTTTCTTTACTCTGCCGCGCACTATCTAACGCGCCGTCCAAACCGCCAATCGTGCGACCTTGAATGCACCTCTGTAACGTTGCCGCAGCGCAAGTGAGCGGTGCGTTTCCGCATTAATCGATACGACAGTCCGTTGCCAACGCGAATAGGAAAGGCTGCCGTGTTTGCCTTGCGGGCGAATAATACCTCTGCTTGAATGTGCGGTGTTCAGCAAAAATGCGTGTCGAAACTGCTCACTGCACCGGCAGTGTCGGCTTGATTCTCGATATACCACGGATAACTGCCGCACATAGCAGCATTGAACTATTACTTTCTCTCATACTTGCAGACGAAGCCCGCTGCCGGCTTTGCCATTCGTTTACTTGCGGAACGGAAAGAACCTTGAAATCCCTAATGTGCGCGTCTTTCGCGCAAGCGCTGCAATATTAAAGTACAAATTGGTTTTATAACCATTATCCAATCTTCAGCCCGCTTTTTGAAATATTTGCAACCGCTAGACTAGCGATCTGTTTCAGATCACTTCTCATTCGTACCGTCTTGCAATGTCTCGATTTGGTGGTAATCTGCCTATACAATGCGCTACGAAAAAAAAATACAGTTCATAATACACACGTTTATAACGATTTGCAGTGGTATGACTTTCTGTCTGGCTTGCAGCATTTATGAATTTTTAACAAAAATAGGGAAATAACTTGATTGTCCTTCAACTTTCCTAACCTTGTCTGTAGTGTATAATGCATTGCACTTAATAGGATACAACCTTACTCATTCCTTGCAGGGACAAGTTATTAAAAGAAGGTAATGCGACAACCTATCGCTCTCACTTCTCATCCACTCTTTGTTATCTATGAGTAGCTCGCCTCTTGCGGAGTGTTTTGCATTATCCTAATGTCAACAGTAAGCTGCACTTGGCAGAACTTTGTGAGAATGACTGCGACAAGCAAACCTCCAAAAGTATTCCCTCTAAAGGTATATGTGGTCGGCCTTCGTGAAAGCAGTTGTGCTGGTTAGTTATGCTACCAGTACTATTTTGACAACACATATGTCACTGGTTGCAGGGAAACATCAACTTGGAGTTGGAACAGCATGTGCAGTTTTGCTTACCAACTTTGATATCATTTTATGGCTTCACAGCTAGTGATGATGAGGTTATAGCTTGACAACCAATTCATAATGTAACACTGATTCCTTAAATTGCTTTTGGCAGGGGAATGTCTATAATATTAAGTACACCAGTATTTTCAGCATCACGAGGGGACATCTAAAACTTCAGGAGTGCACATCCTGCATTTCCCTTCCAGAGATTTTTTCTGTGTTTTACTAGTAATAATAATAAGAATAGACTAATCAACATGACTGGAAGCTTCTTATCCTGCTTACAAACAACTAAACAACTAAAAAAAGAGTGAAAGTGGACTAATTGATAAAAATATGTTTGTACGTTATTCATAGTTGGGAATTCTCCGTATTAGTTTGCCTTCCACATGGTCAGTTTTTTTTTGCAGACGGTGCCAGCCTACGAGAAAGTGAACGTTAGCTTTCCCCTCGCCTTGGAACTTGCCGCAGCTGTAGTGATAAGGCCGTCGTACCATGCGATATCTAGTCGGCTCTTGTGTTAGATGCTTATGCTCGCAACTCCTCTCCTTAGAGGTCAAGTGGCCGTTCTTTAGGCTCGTTTAAGAGTTATAGTCATCTTGAAAAGAACATTCCTAGCTTGCACACTCTGTAGAATTTCATACGATCACTGCTCTCGTATTCCTACTGCGTATAACCTTTGTTGTACTTTTCACTGATGCTATGAAGGCCACTTGTGAGCATTTACGTAGTGGTATTTTCAATTCAGGGCATAGGGAAAGCAATCAAACTAAATACTAAAGGCATTAGGTTGCAACAGGAAGCATGTTTAAACAGCGCACTACCTGAGACTAACTAAAGACTGCACAAGACCTTTCATGTTCTGCACTGTCTAAACATGAATCCTAATCGACTAGCCCCAAGTCTCCCATTTGCATAGTAGGAAAGGCAACATTGTTCAGTGTGTAGAGGAAATGCAGATGTGCTAGCTGTAACTAAAGGAAAGATTTAGCAATGCAAGGCACAAGGTATGTTATATGTGTGCTTTTAGCACACAGGTGTAATACTAGGGTATATTTGTTTTAGTTATGTGGACTATGCTGTAGCATTATTTGGTAAAATGATCAGATGAGCAAACTTCTTGGCAGTTACTGCAAAATAGCATTACTGAAAATTTCCGAGACACACACCTTCGCTTACAGTGAAGATGAACAACTACATTGGTCATTGTGTATGGAGCTCAATGAGAAGACCCATACATATTGATCATATAATGCAGTGCAAGTCTTTTGCTAACACGAATGTGCAGTTGTAGACAATGCAAGTTGGCAAATATAATTAGTACAAGAAATTAACTGTGATCCGTTCTCCTAGGGCTCAAACTGAGGAATCATCAGGAAATAGATATTACATTTTTGTGACTGCTTGACAATAATCAGCAGGAGAGGTTAAAGCTCACATTGTTGCTATGGTTGCTCTTTGACCACCGATAAGGTATCTTTCCTTCTTTCACATCAGGCCATACTATGCTGCACATTTTTAGCAGCATTAAGCATATCAGATGCTATAGTTGATTACAGTAAAGAAATAGGAAGACAAAAGGGGAATTTCTGTGCATACCGTAGTCAACTACTTTTCAGTTCAACAGATCAAGCTTTAGTCAGTTAGGTACCCAAGAAAAAGTAGGAGCTGTGCCGACAGTCACTTAAATAAAATTTGCATGGATGAGCCATCTAACCAGATTCGCTCAATTGTGTGAGGTCAATTTGTGTAGCATGTTCATGATAGTTGATTTTCTCACGCAGATAGGAATTTACATTACTGGTTTCACATTGAAAACTTAATTGTCCCAGCAAATATTATCAGGCATTCTGTACTGAACTGAATGTAATCTGTACAAAGAATTGATAAACTCTATTTTAGAATATGTTTAGCATTCAGGTTAGATAAAAAGTATTTTATGTTTACAATGGAAATCTGCTGGCATGCTATTTTTGCACGAGCATTAGACTACTGTGGGGGAAGCTTATGTACATACATTTTTTTGTTGTAGTTAATGGCGGCCAAACTAATTCCACAGCCACACTTAGTTTTATCTTCTAGTAACAGTGAATATAGGAGAAATTAGATAAACATTAATTCTAATTTCTTAGTAAAGTTTAACAACAAGAATACTTTTTAGGTTTACAAAACATTTGTTTGAAATTAGCACATGTCTTGGTCCTCTTAAGTGCATTTTTTTCTGCATGCGTGTAGAAGGCATGTTCAGTTACATTTTCACATTTCCTCTCTTTTGCAACACACATTGCATTTGCGTGAGTTGCCTACGCTGTGTACCAGTGGTATTTGTATGACAGCATACGGTCATTCAGACTTCGCCTCTCGTGGCTATGTATATGAGGCTATGGACTTGGGTAAGCCGTGGAAACATAGCGCTGCTTTTTCTTTACAGTTGTGTTATGTTGAATAAAAGGCAAAACATGCATTCAAACCTGAATTATTAGACAATATATCGTAGCATGAATCCATGCTTGGGAAAACATAACATGTGTCATCCGTGAAGGGTACAGAAAATGCCTGGGCAAATATTGGCTTAACTTCTCTAGATAAAGAAGTGCTTTTTTTCTTTTGTCCTGGACTCGACGTCTGTCGGGACAGACACAAATGTTATCTGGGTGGTGTGACGGCTGTCGTTGGCCTTGTCTCCATCCACCCATTTTGTTGAGTAAAGGCATGTCTGCCGCATCCTTTTATTAGTTTATGGACACACAAGTGCCATCGTGCCTCAACCACGTAGGGAGTGACGCAGAGCAGTCAAACTCCTGTCTAACACGCTTTCTGTAAGGTTCAACGTACTTGTCACACCACTCCCTGATAGTCTTGGATCATTCTCTTTAAAAAAAATTTTCTTCTGCAAGTGATAGAGTGAAACTCCACTGTGTCAATACGTTTGAAAATTTGGCTGAAAATTTGTTAGTGTAAACTCGTCCTCCCTTTTTCCTTCTTTTTCCAATGGGAAGGGGGGATAGTAGAGTAGTGCTGGCTTTTATCACCACTGTGACCACATTCCAGTGATAGCAAAATTGAAGAATGTTTGTGCATTAGTACAGTAACTCCCCACTGATACATTGTAGTTTAATAGGATTTCTCAACTGCTACGTTTACAATCGTGAAAATTAGACTAACCCAATTCGGATCGTATGATTTAGATTGTACATTATTTTCCTGGATCGTATGTTTATTTTCAATGTATTTTTTTCAGAAACATGTCAACGAGATACTACTGCATGTTGTAGCTCCCTGCAAATGTTCATCATCATTAAGTTTTTTATCAGCCACTTCGGGGTATGAATACTTTTAAGTGGCCCTGTGCTGATTCGTAATCTAGCACAACTAAGCTAGGGTCATGTCATTGCTCAGTTGTGGTGTCGCTCCTGCCGATTCTACCTCCTGCAGAGCTCTCAGTTTTTTTTTTTTCGTTTTCTTGTCTGTTTCATGGAGATGACGCACATTCTTAAGAGGTATTTCATAGCTGAAAATGTGCAGTGAAAAAAGGCACTGGCAAAATCATGAGGACACAAAAAGACTGCTTCATTGTGTTCACACAGAGCATACTCATGTTTGTTGGGATAGTATGCTGGTTCCCTATCGCTATGTTTTAGCAACAAGCTAATGTGTTAAATATTGAGGGAATGCAGTTCACATCCCATAATAGCCATCTAGACTCTTTCATTTGGTGGTTAACTTGTGTGCATAAAACATTACTTTGATATCACTTAACTTGTAGGGGCCCTTTATTTTGCCCCGATGCTATTGCCCTTGCATGAGAATTGCTACTTGAGTGAGTTGGTACTGAGATCAGTGTAATTCAAGGCCAAGGGACCTTACTAACTGATAAAATAATGCCACTATGTGTGCATTGACATGAGTAACTGAATTAAGGCAGCGAGTTTTTGCGGTTCCCATGTACCACAGACTTTTGTATATTAGTGCAGCCTGTGTCCTTTTCCTGATGTGTAAGCATAAATCAGTTACTTACTTAAAGCTTTGTGCTTCAGTAAGTCAGGATATGTCATTAACCTGGCCTCAAGCTCTTTTAAGATATTTTTTTCCAGTACGTTGAATTAACATCTTCATTTCGTCTCTCTTAGAATGAAACCAGTCGGAAGCAAATCGAACATCTCCAGCAGATCGGGGACACCGGTCAGCTCCAAAGGCTACTGCTTACAAGGTTGCAGTTTGGAACTGCAGGTACGTGTGTTCTTGAAGATCTTCGCTCGTCAGGTGCCTGAATTTTGTAAGTCTTCATATTCAAAGCTAATCTGTGAGTAGCACATATTCCATATATTTGTTCAGTGCCAGAGGTAACACATCTTTTGTATTTCAGTACAATACACAGCCAAGTGATTACATCAATGCATATAGACTAGCTTTCATGAGTAGTGGTGGTAGTATCTTCTTTTTGTTTCTTGCAGTCATACCCAAAAATCAGGGACAGAAACAACAGACTTCTGCACCCGTGGTTTGCAGCGTAAACACATCTTGGGAAAAAAAAAATGGTGCATCGTATGACATGAGCAATAACAAAGTATTTCCCTCTTAAGAAATGAACAAATGACATGCTTTTTATATTGTTGAAAAGTTGCCTAAATACAATCATCCTACAATGCATATGTGCTAGCCTAATGTGCCATGTTGACCACATTTCTTTTCTTTTCACTGGCGTAGAAGTGTTTCAGTTACATTGCTGCCCGACAAAATGTTATTTTTACAAGTGAACCATGCTATATCTGGGAGCGAGCCTTTATATAAGCTCTTCCTCGCCAGTTTTAGAAATAAATTGGAAGGGAAAAGTAGATGGCTTTATTAATTTGCTTGCCGTATTGTTTGTTTAGTTCCTTCATTGCTTTGTGCTTTTTCTCAACTAGCAAGCATGCTACCTTCGCCAATTAAAAATGTACACTTTCGCACAAGTGGGAGCTACGTAAAGTGTAAACTTTTTGGCAGCTTGAGCTAGAGGAATAATTTAGGAACTTGCATTTGAATCGAAAGTAAAACAAAAAAAAAAATGTCACTACACCTGTCTATTGCAAGGTGCCATTTTTAATAAGCAACTATGTTCAGCTTTTATTGTTGATTATGTCCCACCTCTTTGCTATTTCTTTCCAAAAGTGTTTCAATTTTAAACTTGGAGATCTCATGGTGCATTTGAAAATATTAGGTAGAAAGGTGGGTTGTGCGAATATTATATATTTCGAATATTTTTGGAATAGTGTTTGCTATTTGATTCACACTGGAATTTTACGATTTGAACGATTCGAACTTCCCAAAGACAAATGCAGGCAAGGCCCCATTAGAAGTGTCCCCTTCGCATTTTCAATATGGTTCACTTCTACACATTTTCGTGTTGCGGCGAAGCTGTTTTTCTGGCCCCACTATGATCGAACTTTTCGAAGACTGTCGTCAGAATAAAAATAGCCCATTCAGAGTTTTATATGCTTCGCCTCATTACATTGATGTACTATGGTAAAGCTGCCTTTCAGGCTTCGATTCAGTCGCAAATGTATGCACTCAAGGAAATTCTGGTTCCAACATGAAAATTAGTGGTGTAGCAAAGGTGCTGGCTCAAAAAATTTTGTTTTGGACCTGAAATTTGGTTGGGAAGTCCAAAAAAATATGACGTCGAATATTTTTAGCATCTAAAACTTCCGTTGTTTTTATATGTTGATGTCTACGAGGTAGATTTGGAATTCCGGACTAGAAGAGAGAATACTTTTATCTGGGACATCAGTTGGGCTTCCATAGAAGTTTGAAAAGGAGGACAGGCTGAGAGAATAGCATTTCTGCATTTCATGTGTAAAGTGTTGTCAGTAACGCTTTGGTTGCACCAAATCACGTACATAAATACCATTTGGCCACTGCATTGTCTCATTCTTGATATCACAACTGTGGAACACCACCCCACTAACACTTTATCAACCTAGTAAAAAGAAATTTTTTCATTTTGCTATTGCACAAGAATATGCTTAGAAATCCTCTACAACTTTTTTTTGTAATTTCACTTCAAAGAATTGGCAAAATATTCTAGAAATATTCTACAAATATTTCATTTGATTTGCACTCACACTGCAATATACGAATTCACTTTCCACCCAAAATTTTGGTATTTGCATAGCTCTAGTAGAATGTTCATGTTTATTTAAAACAATTCTAATTTAATGAAGACATTATAAAAGGACTGTTAGCTTGTCAGCAAAAGTTTATCTGGCCATTCCAGAGAATTGTTTAGCTGGCCTGCTTAAGCAGTCTTGGCAGCACGAAAATTAAATATGTTGCTCTTGAAAGAAGTACATAATTTACTTGAGAAACCAAACATTGTCATGAATTTATGGTGTTATTTATTCAGGCTTTGAAAATGTGTTATTTGTGCAAAGCAGGGCAGTATGGCACTTTTATATTTCCTGGTGTTCACGGAAGAGTGAGAGGTCGTGAAAACTATAGTCTCGTTGACATTTGACGTGTTAGGGCATAGATTTTGAGAAAGAACAGTTTATCTGTTGTGTCTCTGTTCACAGCTCAAAATTTAGATTCCTTGCTTCACTATATTTATTCTTATTTGAAGGCCACAGTGTTAAGCTGTGACTGTAGGCTAAGGCTAGGCTTATTCATACCCTCTGTCTATGATTACCGCTATCTGCTTCCATAGCAAACATTGGATGCATATTAGCACATATTACAAGAAATTAAGACATTACACATTGTGACGGTATGATTGCTTGATATGATATGCATCAATTTGTCATTTGTAGTCTTAAGTTCCGAAGAAATTGAACAGGTGCAAGGAGCTTCACGTTTACGACTTAAAATTGTACAAGGCTTTGCTTTTCCGCACGTGCTTGAAACTTGTTGAAATATGTTTTCTTCTATTATCTATTTTCGAAAAGTGTATTTGAATGTTCATTGTTTAATTTTCTTTTTTATTGCACTAACTATTATAAGAACAAGGTAGAGAAAGTGTTTATTTTTTATATTGCTGCTATTTATATGATGTAGATGAACATTCACGTGCTGACGTTCCTGCTATGTTCTGTCTTGTTAAGGACTGCGGGGAGTCATGGGCCCTGGCTATGCTGCCATGAATGACTTGGTCATCATTCAGACTTCACAAGGCGTCGCAAAGTACGTGGAGGCCACACTCCCTGAAGCGAAACAAAAGGGAGTCGCCGTCAGCTTCGATGGTCGCTACAACAGTCACAGGTGGGCACTGATGCATCCTGGCTTGCTATGGGCGGTTAGCTTCCAGAGAAGCTCCATGTGCGGTGCAACAAAACAATCGATCTTGTTAGAACTCGAGTAGCTTGTAGTTGAAGATAGTGAAGTTTTATTAGGTGATTCTCACACCCTTTCGTCTAGTTTGCCACTGCACAAGGTCTTCAAAGCTTTAGTGGGTACTATAGTCAGCAGAGTTCTTTAGCTATACACAAGCCTTTTAAAATGTATAGCTATAGCATTTAAGCTGTGTAAAAATTGTGTAACCTCTAACATGTTCCTGTATTTTGAGCCAGCTTTGCAATTGCTAACATCTTCAACTGCATAGAAGGTTATTCTGTCATTTCAGATGGTTACAGCATTATTATTGGTTAAATAATAATGAGACCATTTGGGAAAATTAATCAAAGATATTTGTAAAGATAACCTAGGAATTCAGCTGAAGTCGTTTCGAAAAGCACACAAAATTGGTCCTCGTACTAAAGAGGCTAAGCGGCCTAGCTTTTCTCTTTTACAAATAAAAAGAAGGGGTTTTAATTAATGCCAGAAACTTTAAAGGAACTGATCACAGTGCCACTAAAGATTACTTGGGTGAGACATGTAGCTTGCACTACTGCTATGGGAATGCGCAAGAGCTAAAGAGGAAGGTAAACACAATAAAGCAAGGCTAAGTTATGATAAGCCTGTTATAAACCGCTGGGTTTTTATCTAGGACAAAGACAAACGAGAAGTAGTTCCTGTGGCAAAGCCACAATGCGATTTCCGATGTGGGATACACCCCCTTCTCGGCATATAATTCGCTTAGTGATAAATTTTCCAGGGCAGAAGCTGTCGTAGATAGGTGGGGCTATATGTCCAAGGCTCCACTGGCTTGTGCCACCAGCCGGATGTGGTCCAGGAGTGCTAGTTGTAACTTCACGCTCAAGCTAGCAAGGAGTGCCTCCCATCGGACCAAAGAGTTTTCTATTCTGCCCTTATGCTATAAGGGATTGATTTTATATGGGTGTTTACTGCAACCCCCACGAGATATAGTAGAGGGTCATTGGTAAGTTGCGACTCAACAAACAGTCGTACTTTTTTAATATGATTCGTTTCATCCTAGTTGAATTCTGCTCTTTTGTTCATCTCTCAGTTAACAAAACTCTTCTTAACTCTTTCTCTTCTTAACTCTTTCCTTACCACGGGAAAATTGGCCTATTTTCGTATGTTGCAGCTAGGAATTTTCTGTGCCGTTGCTACTAGGTTTACAGTGCCATGCAATACATCAAAATAAAGACGAATGAACGTACTTTTGAATGCTTTTTATTTGAAACATAAAGGAAATTTATTTGGCGCAAAAAATTTGTATACAATAAAATTATAAAATTTTCGAGAATTTTTTTTTTTAAAACAAAGCGATATCTCCGACACAAAATTTTTCTGAGGAATTCTGAAATATACAAAATGTTTAGTAATCACAGGACAACATTATTTAGAAGAATTGTTAAAATTGACGAAGCTGTTCTTGAGTTACAAAAAAATTGCCTGATGCATAGCGAAATAGTGAAGTTCTGAGTTGGTCCTACGCGAGATTTTTTTTTCAGGAAAAAAAATTTTTCAGCAAAATATTACATACCAAAATGCAAGTACTAAATGTAGGGTTTGAAAGGTACATTTGACGAAAGAACTGGCAGATCTAAATAGGTAACAAAAATTGACACACAAATAATTAGGTTTGTTCACAACAAACGTCGTAATGATATACTTATATCTTCCGAGTAAAAAATTATGGAAAGTTAATGGAGATGTAAAATATTTAAAACAGCGTATTGGAGTAGGATTGAAAAAATGAAAGTTATCGCTCAAGAACTTCTCGAGCTATAAATTGTGCACTACTGCGGAGCGTCATGCCGAGGTCGATGCCCGGATCCCTCTGGGGTCGGAAGTCCACGTGTCTTTGTGCTGGAGGCAGCACATCGCGCCCAAATGAAGTAGACACACTAGAAATAATAATAATATGTGGGACACATACAGAGCAAGTCTTCCAGCTCCAGAACACGATAAACAAAAGAGAAGGTGAAAACCAAACTTACTCGCGACTAACAGCTGACGTTCCCGGCTGATCTGATAAAATTTCTTCATTGAAGCTGAAATCCGATGTCACCACATCGTTGTCCAATTTCTCACTGCTTTAGAAATCGAAAAGATCGCTCGTCGAGGGGTCGGCATCGAGGGAAATCGCTTTTTTCCGAGCGCGCGTGGTTTTGGATGTTGACGCCATCACGCGGATCACGTGCGTTTCAACCTTTGAATGGGCGCGCCCTTTAAAAATCACCGCCACGCGGTAAAAATGCGAACCGTACAGAAACAGAAATTATAGTGTGTGTACAATCGTCTAGATGGCGCTGCAAGTCCTTACGCACGGTGTTTGTTGAAAAATAGGGGCGTGAAATCGTCGGTCACTGGTGAACGCTGTTTAGTGGCGTGGTAAGGAAAGAGTTAAACAGAACATAATTTCCTTGTTTTTTGTACCGTTCAACAAAAGCTTACTGCAATATCTTAGACTTCTGGTTTTGCAACTCGCCAAACTTTGCGAGTTCAGTCACTGTCATCCCAGACTGCAGTGGCCACTTAGCTGTAGTTGCAACTATAAAAATAAAAATTCCTTGCTTGAAGTACTGCGGGAGTAGAAAAAAGTTCTTCCTCGATCAAAGCGATTATTCTGCCAAAACTGAAATACTTCTTAGTTGGCCTGTTTTCGAATGCCTGGCAGATGATAAGGATGTACAGGATTCAAAGAGAATACTTATATTTCACATTGCTGGCCTTCCAAGAGCAAGTTTATCAGGAAAAATCATTTGTGCAAAGCACTAGTTCGTCAAAAGAAGTCATTACTGTAAAGAATCGGGAGTCTTATGCTTAAGTCACTGTGCTAATGCAGGAGCGTGAAGTATGGACTAACCTTTGCGCACAAGTACTAGCAGTGGACCCGTCTGTACAGGAAGTTTGGCGTCTGTTCAAAAATAAACTATCGAACTGATAGGTGCATGTGCACCTAGTGCAGATTCTTTTAAACTAAAAAAAAAAAAAAAAGCTGGGGGTTACAACACATCTATTGCAGCTAATCAATGAGAGAAAGCGGTTATTCGCTGAATTCAAATGAACCAAACAGACGTCAAAACGGGTGCAGTTCAAGACGGCCGGAAAGCCTACCGATTCGCAGTTCGGAGGCACTGCCAAATGGCCACCTCTGCCGAGCATCCACCTTTCGCAGTCACACCCCATCCTTTCACCTGGCCACATGAAACAGTGACATGAGATTAAGCTGACATTTCGTCTGCTATGCGAGCTGTTGTAGTCATGTCTTCGTCACCACCGTCGTCGTCGTCCCCGTCGTCAGTGTCTGTAAGTGTCTATAAGCGAAAAAAGCACTGCGAAATGGGAAATCACTGGGATTCGCAACGCCGCAAATCATTTTTGCTTCGATCCTTTTGCAAAGCACCGATTCTACAATTGATGCCGCCCGACAAGCGACAAGAAGGCACCTAGCGATGCCCACTTAGGCCGTGCTAGCTGGTAAGAACACAGAACAATAAGAAATGTTGGCAAGACAGGGGCTCCTATCCTGTCCACAAAAATATGCAGTGTAGCGGCTAACAATAACAAACAATTTATTCAACACAAATGGTCGATCGACTTGATGGTAAAATGTGCCCGCACTGCTCAGAATTTCATTCGCATATGCCAATTCTTCCACTACGCCGAGCTCGCCTTTTACTTCTCACCATCCATACATACACCCTGTCAAAGTTTGGTGTCTCGTTTTCAGCCAGGCGTCCATGCTGGCGTGTCTCACCCATGTCCCTGTTAAAATCTCCAAAACAGTACGGTCCGAGTTTCCTTCATTTCAGTACTGTCTGTGTGATCGTGTAAGTCCGTCGTGCAATGTGCTGCGAAAACTAGTCGAGAGACGTACATTGCATGCCCAGCCCGTCCTGGAATGCACAACCCTACCACCGACTGTAGAAGCTCTCCATGACAAAGACATTTCTTCTTGCAGTACTTGAAATGCCACTGGTGTCAGTCACGCACAGCTGTTTCACGACATGCCCACATGTAGTGCTGTTGAAATCTGGGCTCGAAATTATCACGTGCTGATAGCACACGACAAACAGTTTGAAGCGTTACATTATAGCAGCATGGCGAAAACCCAGGATTCATATGAACGTCGTCATTGCTCACTCATAGCTACTCAGTGTCTGAGGTGTGGCCTAGGAGCTGACTAAACCTGTCTATTACTGTCAATGTCCCATGGTGCTGAAAGCGCCGTTGAGTGTTTGTACGCTCTTTGGGCTCGAACTAGAATGAGTTCTACGTAACTGCCAAAAAATACTCATGCATACCAAGCAATCAAATCAACGCCACATCTTGGGTTCAAAATTTCACTAATATAGATCTATTTGTTCATTTCGAATACTTCGAAATTTTCACCATTTGAACTTCGAATTGAATTGATTACTAATACAGTAATATTCGTGCCAATATTCAAAGCATTAAGCATTTAAATATTTGCAGAAGTATAATAATATTCCACGTAAAGCTAATGAATAAAAATGATCGTCGGTCTCTGCATGTTTTCTGACACCCCTTGTGGTGCATTAGCTACTGCCCGTTTTACCTGTCACCAACTGTGGTGGAAACTTACATCTACTCTTTGTTGTCATACCATATAGAAGTTAAATATTAAGCGGCTACTGTGGTTTTATATTAGTATTTGCTGTTGTTTATGTGTGGACCATTTATTTGCTGGTGGCACAGCCAAGCCTTGATATCATCAACATGAGTATACAGAACTTGTGGGCTATCAAACCGTTTCCAAGATTTTTACGAGCGTATCAAGTGTTGACCATTAAGATTTGTCAAGTCGAAGTTTCTGGCAACTTCTCTATTAACACCACAGAATTGTTTACACTGTCTTTTATATCATAAACTTCAGCTTTAAACTTTGGAACAGTTAATTCATGCATATCAATTATGAATGCTACACTGAACTCTTCAATGGGGGATTTACTATGCATGAAGCACAATTTTTTCATGCCACGGCGGTAGGACGCAGATGTGGTGTAGATATTGCCCAAAATATTTTGCATTTCGCTTATACATGTTGATCCCTGACACATGTCTGGCACTTTGTTAATGCTGCTGATTAAATGATAGCATGATGGATAACACCACTAAATACTATGAGCTTTAAGGTGCAATGCAAAGTCACCCTGGTATTGAATGATTTTCACGGCAGCTTTGCATAGCAGACTTTGGCTATGCTGATCGACTTATATGTTATGGTTTTTATGCAGTTTGCTATAACATGGCTTGACTCAAGGTGCCATATTTCCTCAGTGGACTAGAAGCATAACATGTTCATTGTTGCGCATTGCAGGTTTGCCCAGCTGGTTGCAGTGGCATTCCTGCAGCTGAACATTCCAGTACGCCTGTTCAGCAAAGTGACACCAACGCCTTTCATCCCTTTCACTGTCTTGCATCTGGGCTCCTCAGCTGGCGTAATGGTCACAGCATCCCACAACCCGAAGGATGACAATGGCTACAAGGTGCTCTCTTCTTTATTACACTCTGTGTGCACCTTGATGTTTATTTCTGCATGAACAAACTGCTTACCAGGACGCCTACGACAAGAAGGATATCGGGAAGTGCTTCACTTAACAGAGTCCAATGGGCCCCATCCACATATCGTACATACCCAGTTTCTGTGGACTTGAAGTAAGAATACAAAAATGCACCTGAATATAAAGCTGTCCTTATTTATAAGAAAACTGCACAACATGCCCCCTCATCCACATTAATAAAAGAAAAAAGATAACACGAGTCACCTTGAAAAGAGAGAGAGAGCTTCGTTAAACGAGATTTGACCATAAGAACAAGACATCATTGCTATTTGTGCATTATTGATTACACATGTTGGGCACTAAGAAACAATGCAGCAAAAAGCTCATTAATTTGGATGGCATGAGAATAAAAAATAACCAAGTTAATAATCAAATTCTGAATTATTGAAAGTGTAAAGAAAATAATAACCATACATCTGTTACACCAATAATATTCATTCTCTTGATGAATGTGTAATTTCTGTGCTTAGTTTGCATAAAAGCTGCAGTTTTCTTCATCCTGCAACTTATTCCACAACGTGGTTGCCACACAAGACCCTTGCATCTTACTAGCCCGGAATCTGCTCTTTAACCCCTCCTGATTTTGTACAGCCACCACCACCACACGCCTGTGGCGATACCTTTTTGCCAGTGAAATGGCTGGCAACTAATCATCTGTTCATCGCGATGTAGCGTGCGAGTTTTATGCCAGCATGTAGACTGTGGCTGTAAGCTTTTCACCTTCAACCACTTGTGTCATGTTCGATTGTTACGACATTGTGCGGGCATCGTAACAAGTCAAAACAAAGCTACTGAGTGCTGCATCCACTGTGGAATAAACCGTCGTCACAAACAATGAGATCACTGCTAGAGTTCATACGGTTCGACGACACATGTGAGGCTTACGTACACCGAGTCAAAGTAAAACTACGGAGTGCTGCGGCCACTGCGTTAGGTGCCTGGCACATTCACAGATTGAGGCTACAAAGTTCTGGAGGCACGTGGCGAAAATGAAACTGCTGCTAGTCGCAGCCGCTGCGGACAATAGTACCAGAGTTGTCTATGCAACTGTAGCGCTTGTCAGTTTCTGATATGATGTGTCCCTTATAAGCAGTGCACCATGTTTTCATTTTCTAATGAAACCCTTATTTGAGGTAGGCACACTGGCGTCTGTTATAACCAATTGTCCGTTACATCAGTGTACTGTCGAGTACATTGGTGACAAAGCAGGTGTGTTTACACTGAAGCCTTCATCTCGCACGGTGATGCGCTAATTGTGCCCATTGACTGTTCGAGTACCTCTATTGTTGCCATATGCACTCTGGAACGCTGGAAGCATGAGTAAATATTTTTCGCCTTAGTCGGTGTCCATCAGTGTTTTAGCCAACTGGTAGTGTCACAATGTGACTGCTGTGCACTGCATTTCACGGCCACTGTGGAGTGTTCTATAGCAACTGCGGCTGTGCATGCTGAAGGGGTCTCCTCTGTGCACAGTTGGCGTAAAAGCCTAGCTCCGGTTCAAGCCGCACGCAGTTGTGCCATGCGCGTGTCAACGTCTCCTTCTCGTAGCCAGAGTCATTGCAGGTACGATAGGTTCAGGCGAATAAGCCAACAGGCTAGGTCAGCAAACAACACTTTATTGCTCTGTTAGCAGTAACGCGTAAACCTCGAGTTGAGGGATAGTCTGCTCAGTGTAGAAACAAAGGGTAAGAATCACTCCTTTCTTCAATTGCTGGCTGGCGTGTTCCTCCAGGTGATGACAGTCGTGACTGCAGGCACAAAAGAGAGCTTCCTCGTTTGCTCGGCTGTTTTGTTCGACCTCATTTCTTCCTCCTAGCAGTGTGGGTTGTTTCCTTTGCCGGGTAAGGCTACCCTTTCCCTCGAGCATGGATGTAGCGCTCGCTCCCTGAGAACTTCCACTTTTGACAAAGCTATACTAAATACTGCTTAACATCTCTAGTGCTGCCATAGTTATGATACATATTCTTTTGCTTGAATGTATTGACTATGCTTGGAAGTTCTCATTGTGTGATCACTGCCTGCTTCCATGACATTTGGTCTCCCGTAAATGTATAAGATGCCGACTAGGACCTTTAATTAAGACCGAATTAGCTGAAAAACCAATTTAATAGACGTGTGCTGTAATTTAAAAAACATACAAGGAGAGATCACTGGTTAGCTTTGATGAAATTGCAGTGCATCTACAAAATTTGTGCTTACATACTTGCCTTTGATTTTTCAGGTCTACTGGAACAATGGCACTCAGGTGAGAGGATATAGCATTTTTCACTGTTAATTAGTTGCTGTGCGGGAATGTTTCTTAGTACTATAACTTGGTGCAGACATGCAGCACAAGTTGAGCAGCCGTGTAACCTAATTGAATATCTGTATATTTGGGCTCACTGCTCATGCAAGCACAGAATTAAAAGAGGACCAAGTTTTAAAATACGGCTACTATTTGAGTGTGATTCATGCTGATGTACCACATTGATTTGCATAATCCTCACACTTTTTTTTGCTCAAGACTGATCTAAAGTTGGGGGACGGATTACAGGAAAAATTTTCCGTGAAAACGAATTTCGATCCATTTTGAATTTATAAAGCAGTTCTTTCACATAGCTAGGCAGCGCTCGTCTCTTGGTTTATCCTCCATGGTGGGTTGTGCGAGGTTAAAAAGATCAACCAACCAACCAGTTGCAAGCATAGAGAAGTACTAATTAAGACTTACCTTAACAATAAAACCCCAGGTTCAAGACAAAACAAGATTTATATGAGACACAAAAGCCGCAAACAAATAGTAGAGAAATGGAATACCATACGCAAAGCTTGTGTACATCGCGTGCGTAGTGTTACCGTTTTTCACTCAACGGGAGCCCATAAAAGCTTAGAGTACAATGTCAAACTTGACCTGATGGCCAAAGTTGTCCGCAGCCCATTTCTGACAAAATAAATTTTACTGTCTATGCCAGTCAGGCACATGGAAGGCCCAACATGTCTTGGTGGTTTTCAGCTGCTCATGCTGCTGTCGCCAGTAGCTAACACAAAACTCGTCAAGTTAGAGAGAATTTCGAAGCATGTTCTTATATAATAGCAACATGAAAGTGCCTATTTTGGGCTGGGTTGATGAAGGACTGGCTGGGTGGTATTTCGTAGTTGTCTTAGCAAGAATTACGCCATGCATAGGCAGAATTGTACTTATGCACATGATTTGGTGCAAGCAAAATGTGGCCGACAACATTTTACACATGAGAGGCAAAGGTGCTGTTGAATTTCCCTGGTTCAGCCCGAGAAAAGACAACGGTGAGCTTTGCACCAGCATGCCAATGAATGCATGATCTCGTTAGACAAAGAAGACGAGAAGCCATCATCATCACGTTCTGGGCTCATTTGTATGCTAATAAACAACGTCTGAGTTCTCTGGTCTGTTACGACTGTTCAGTTGGCCACATATTTTGCAGGTGCTATTTTCTCTACCTCAGCTCCTTTTTCAACCTCTGTGTAAGCCCAACTGATGTGGCAGACAAGCTCTCTTCAAGTCCGGTATTCCAAATCTGCCTCCTAGACGCCGATAGACAAGAACATCCGAAGTTTTGGACGCTAAAATTCATTGACATCAGATTTTTCGGACTTTCAGCCCAAATTTCAGGTCTAAAACAGCATTAACTGAGCCCCAACCTCTGCGACATATATCATTCCCATGTTGGAACTAGCATTTTCTTGAATCAATACATTTGCGACCGTAGCAGAGCCTCAGAGGCTGCTTGAAGTACGATGGGGTGAAACATAACAAAAATTTGAAGGAGCCTTTTTCCATTTGGCAACTGCTTTTCGGATGATTGAATAGTTTGAATAGTTAAATGTCAGTGCAAATCGAATTGAATAGCAAGCACTAATAAAAAATATTCAAAGTTTCAAATGCGCACCTCTAATTATCTGTCTAAATTGTCTTAATGTTTCGCTTTAGTGCCCCTTTAAGGGAAGATGCTACTCAACGAAGAGTTTTCTTAATCTTTAGCATAGTGCGATGAAATTTTCGCTGTTAACTAGGCTTGTGCGAATAGTGAATTTCAGGGTTGTAACGAATAGCGGTTTTGGTCGAATAATCTAAGACAGAACAGGAATAGTGTATCATTATCATCAGCCTAACTACGTCCACTTCAGGACAAAGGCCTCTCCTATGTTTCTCCAGTCAACTCGGTCCTGCGCTTGCTGCTGTCACTTCATACCCGCAAACTTCCTAATCTCATCTGCCCACCTAATTTTCTGTCTACCCCTAACCCGCTTGCCTTCTCTTGGGAATCCAGTCAGTTATCCTTAATGGCGAGCGGTTATCCTGCCTATGTGCTACACGTCTGGCCCATGTACATTTCTTCTTGTTTTCTACTATGATATCTTTTACCCCAGTTTGTTCCCTGACCCACTCTGCTCTCTTCTTGTCTCTCGCATTGCATATTATACAGAGAAAGGGGCACATTTGTCACGATCCAGCTAACCTACAGAATATATTCAAAAATTGGAACAAGGCCTGTGCAAATGTCATTCTATTTGACGTTTGGTAAGACGAAAGTGCAACTGGTAAAATAAAATAATAGCAATTTCTGGGGCTATACGTCCCAAACAACCTGTAAAATATGTTTTGTTTTAAAGTTTTTCTATACTTAAAGCATATTAGCTGATATAATAAGCTTTTGAACTTTAAAAATTATGAATCGATGTGAGGGTAGTACATTCATTTAACCTTGAACTGGGGCTTTGCGGTAGTGCTTGTTTTCCTGGATAGATGTTTTCATGGTTTAGAAGGCCTTACTGCAGTGAAACCACTTTTACAGGGGGTTACATGCAACAAATTTACATTTGCCCCGCCGCAGTGGTCTAGTGGCTAAGGTACTTGGCTGCTGACCCGCCGGTCGCGGGATCGAATCCCGGCTGCGGCGGCTGCATTTTCGATGGAAGTGAAAATGCTTTAGGCCCGTGTGCTCAGATTTGGGTGCACGTTAAAGAACCCCAGGTGGTCGACATTTCCGGAGCCCTCCGCTACGGCGTCTCTCATAATCATATGGTGGTTTTGGGACGTTAAACCCCACATATCAACAAATTTTCATTTGGATAGGCGCTTTTGTGGCTTACCACCTCTCCCATCCAGTGAAACCACCTTTACAAGGAAAACATGTGGACTAATATACACCTCTTCGTTCATTCCGAATACTTTGAAATTTTCAATAATATAAATTTGAATTAAAGCCGATTTGAATGAAGTAATATTCATTTGAATATTCAAACATTCACCAAAGCCTACTGTTAAGATAAGTTTTTATACTGATTTGAATATGTAGTCAGTTTTATAGTGAGTTGTTTTTTTTTAATGTTTTATATCACGAAAATGTGTAAAATATAACTTTTCTTTAGACATGCTTTTTCTATCACTAATATTTTATAATTATAAGCCTTTAATGGCTCATTTTTCTCCCCTGGAACTGTACAGTGTAAATAATCATCAAGAAAGTGTGTATAAAACATTTAAATTAAAGAAAAAAATTTTTATGTGAGAAGTCTTAAAATGCTCATCCCATACTACTTGCTTGCTTTAGTGTCAAAATATTGGCGTGTTGGTTAAACATTGGAGGGAACATAGCACAAAAAAAGATGGGGACAAGAAAGGATGGTGCACACAAAGCACTGTGTGTGCATTGCCCTTTTTTATCCTCTTCTTTTGCACTGTGTTTCCTCCAATCCTTACTCTAAATAATGATATTTATAGAAGAAATGTTATGCTTTAAAGGAGTTAATTGCACTCCTCGCATGTTAACGAATATGTGGAAAAAATTTTAGCCTGATTTGCTTATCAGAAGTACCAAAAACATGATGTGCAAACTCAAGAAAGTGCCCGAAATTTCATCTGGTGAATAACACGCTTGAAACGTAGAAACTAAAGCTCATCTGTGCGACAGAAATGTGCCTTTAAAATTTTTTTTTCATTATGAGAGCTTGGGAATCATGGGTATTTTGAACATAAAGCTTTGGTGAACTGCTCATGTGAAATGCAATGGCAAACAGTCAGGTGACAATATCCAGGAGACTCTAGACAATGAGCCCTTTTTAGTTTTTAAAAGCCACTGTGGCTCTTCAAAGGCGATTTTAACCTACTTCAAGATCAACTACAACCTAGATTTTTTTTTTTTGTGAAAGTAGACTTGCGAAACCTGCGAAAACAAGTAAAAACAAAAATATGTTATTTTGAAAAAAAGTTGAATTTTTTTTAGTAGTGTCTCCCCTGGAACTGTCTTCATGTTATTTCTATTGTCTTCTGTTTTTCTCTGCTTGTACTACTGTTAATACAACTCATTCTTCTTGAACCTTGAATCATTGAAACCTTTCAGGTAATCGCACCCCATGACAGTGGAATTCAGGCCAGTATCGAAAAGAACCTGGAACCCTGGCCAAAAGCTTGGGACATTGATCAAATTAAGACAAACCCGCTGTGTACAGACCCATTGGAAGAAGCCAGCAAGAAGTACTTTGACATCATAGCGTCTAACATTTATGACAGGTAAGGCACTCCTTTTATTTCACCTGCACTTTCACCTTCTCTGCACAGTTGTAAATTTAGTTACTAAGTGTAATTTGAATTGTATTATCCTTAAATATAGTTCCACTGCAGGGTCAGTGATGAACTAGAGACGATCAGAAATCTGATTCAAGAATTTAACTCCTATTAAACAAACTTGTGGACACAGGAAGAGTAGCAGGACTAATCGCACAACGATAACAGTGAGCAAAGCCACTTGTGGAGGAGATACCATCTCGTTATCATAAAATTCCAAGTGAACACCTTTACTTCAACAAGTAAATATTATCATCAAAGTGTAAAGGGAACAATTTCTTGGAACAACACCGAAATTTAAGACGACCGCGGCAAACTTTTTCCGATAGAAAAAAAAAAAACGTAGAGCATATTAACTTTCTTGGATGTCTTCTCACTCTCGTTAGTGGCACAGCGCGTTATGATGCCCTGCCGCGATGGTTTAGTGGCTAAGGTGCTCGGCTGCTGACCCGCACATCGCGGTATCGAATCCCTGCTGTGGCGGCTGCATTTTTGATGGAGGTGAAAATGCTGTAGGCCCCTGTGCTCAGATTTGGGTACACGTTAAAGAACCCTAGGTAGTCAAAATTTACGGAGTCCTCCACTACAGTGTCTCTCAAAATCATATGGTGGTTTTGGGATGTTAAACCCCGCATATCAATTGATCAGTGCATTATGATAGCTCACAAACACGAAGAAGCCGCAATAAGACTGCGGGAAGCAAGGCGTGGAAGTATCTTCCATTATGAGCCACAATGCAACGGCTTTAAGGAATACATAGAAACAGATCCCGGAAGCCTTACTTTTGCAGGCATCTTGTTATAGCTACCATCTTGCAATTTGGATCTTGAAAGTCATGCTTTTGCTCAAAGACCTTAAAGTTTGTCATGGGAGCCTTATACTGCATTCGGGAAACAATCATTGCGCATAGGAATTTTTTTAAATGACAGATTTTAGGTGCAGGCCATTGTCCCAAGAACCCTGCGAGGAGCAGGAGGGGAACACTTTTTCAGAATGGTGTGGAAAAATGAAATTAGTCATAAAATTGAAGTGGGTGCTTGCTCTGAATTGTACAGTTGTTGAATTTTTATACAGTTTCTACGTGTATGTACCTCAGTACATTGCACATGCTGGAGTAGCTTGGTGGCTAAAGCACTGCACTGTTGAGCTTGAGGTCACTTGTTTGATTCTGGCCACAATGGCCACGCTTTTGACAAGTGCAAAATGCAAATATGCTTTTGTATATAGCTAGGTTTCGGTGCATGATGTGAATGATCACATTCGGCAAGCATTCTCAAATCATGAATAGTGATCTGCCACTAATCCTCAAGAGGAAGGTATATGACAGCTGCATCTTGCCAGTACTTACGTATGGAGCAGAAACATGGAAGCTTACAAAGAGGGTTCAACTTTAGTTGAGGACAACACAGCGGGCGATAGAAAAGAAAATGATAGGTAACCTTATGAGACAAGAAGAAAGCAGAGTGGGTCAGGGAACAAACCTAGGTTAAGGATATCATATTTGAAATCGAGAAGAAGCAATGAACATGCGTTGTGCACGTAGCACGTAGGCAGGATAACGGCTTGTCATTAAGGGTAACTGACTGGATTCCCAGAGAAGGCAAATGCACGAAGGGGATCCAGAAAGATAAGTGGGCCGACGAGATTAAAATGTTCGCACGCATACCACGGCGAAAGCACAAGACTGGGTTGATTTGTAGATCATAGGAGAGGCCTTTGCCCCGCAGTAGGCGTAGTTAGGCTGATGATGATTATGATGGTGATGCATGATTCAGAATGCACTTGGTTGGCGATTGATATGGAGTTGTGCTCTATGATGAGCCTCGGTGTTGTATTGTGGTTATAACACCGAAAATCTTTAATTGAAATCATTGTTAATGGCACATCCTGGACTATTTGCTAGCTGTTTCTCGCTTTTCAGAAGGCAAAACAACATGCATGTCACATAGCCAATCCTAATAGACAGTACTCCCTACGAAATCTGCGACTGCATGACAGACTGCTATGTGTCGGTTTTGTTCTTTCCACAGGTCCCTAAACGAGAACTGTGGCCTGACCTTCACGTTTACATCAATGCATGGTGTGGGTCACCCATACATGGTTAAAGCATTTGAAGCATGCGGTTTCAAGCACTACGTTTCAGTCAAGGAACAAATGGACCCTGACCCTGAATTTCCCACAGTCAAGTTCCCAAACCCTGAAGAAGGAAAGAGCTCCTTGGTAATTATTGACAGAAGAATAAAGAACAGTGGGATAGGGTTAGTTTTATCCTTACAAACCAATGAACATAGAGAACGGTGTTGTTGAAGCCTAGAACTAACCTTGCCCTTTGACTGATCATGTTTGTACCCGGTATTAATTATTAAACATAGGTATATCAAAAACAGTGAACCGATAGACGCAATTGGCCTTAGTTAAATTTTCAATGGCAGCACTACAGTGGAATCTTATTCATGTTTTTCACAGGAAGCAGGAAATGAAATGTATTATGTGTAAATCGCATGAGCCAAAGAAGGTATAAAAAAAAAGGGCTAAATATGCATACTGCATCAGCAGCTCACTTTTATTAACTCTTTGTGCGACAGTGAAACATATACATCCCACTTTTTCATCTGCAGGAAAAATTTTCTCCCACATCCCCCATTATGTTCAGCGCAATGCTAAGTCACTCGTATCTTACCTAATTCTTCATAACATCAAGAAAAGTTTTTTTTGCTATGCTTTCGAAATGCCGTTGTAGTGTTACAATGGTGTTGAATTTCGGTAATTTTTTTATGATAGCTTCTGAATTTTTTTTTATATTGACAGATCTTGCCAATCAAAATTTTTGAGAATTTCTCCTTTTTCTTGTTTTTCAAAGAGGTTACTTTAGCTGCCCGTCATCAAATGTTTTTTGTGAATTTGCGCTATAACTTGGCCGTTAAATGTATCAGAACGATCCCGTGCCAAATTGCACCGCTCGGCCATTAGCGCAGTTGTGGATATGGATGCACGGAACTATTTTTCTTGATATTGCATACCTTTTGAAGAGTTTGCTTATGTTCAGGGACAACAGCTGTACTCATTAATTTTCCCAGGAAAAGCAAGGACGGCAAAATGAAAAAATAAAAAAAACGTTTTTTTGCTTGCAGTGAAGTAAGCTTTACAAGAACAGACAATGCTGTGAAGGCTCGCAAGAAGTGCAACTGCAGGTAGTGTTCTCCTGCTAAATTGAGGTCCACACAACTTTCATCTTCATAACTTGAAAAGTGAAACTCAGCAGTGCCATTTGCTTTGGCCGTTTCATCCCAAATACTTGTTGATGCAATCGCTGGGCAGTGCCTTCATGAGACAGTGGGACATTGTTTTCCCACTTTTTTAAAAATTCCTTCGCGAGTTTTTTTTTCTGTAAACTACTTGCCTGATTTTGATGAAATTTATCTCAAACTATTTCTTTGTAGTATATATGACTATACCACAGTCTGTTGTTATATCATCAGTACAAAAATATAGGTGATACTACAAAGGGTTAAGCCACATTGGAGTAGCTGGTTGCTGTGCACTGCATTTTTCTCTGTTCAAAGTCTAGTAGTAACTTCTGAAAAGTATTCTGAAGCTCTTGTCTTAGGGCATCGCCATCATCATTGGACGCAGCAGGCCAGGCCAGATACTGTTATTTTTCATTTCATTTCATTTCATTTATTTATACTGTTAGCCCAGAAGTGGGCCGTTACAGGGTGGAAGTACAAACAATTATTTGCAAAAAAGAAGTACCGTACAGATCTCGAGATAATTTCTCGGTATTATTGTGACTAGCAACTCGAAGTTATACATAACATACATAAATGGAACACACATGCGATACAATACATACGCGCAGAACAGCACATGACGCATTTGAGGCGGCACTTTTGCACCGCGCTGAAGATTTGAAAGACAACTACTGCAGAATCATGCAACCAACAAAAAGTACACACACACGCCAAGAAAAAAAAAAACATATGTCACTGTTATTCGGAAAATAAACGTTTTAGATTCTGTTCAAATGATGTAAGCGAGGAACAACCAATTATAGACTCTGGCAGCATATTCCAATCTTCAATAGCACGTGGAAAGTAACTGAACTTAAAGCAATCGTTACGTGGGACTAGGGGTGGTATATACATATTATGGCGATGTCTGGAGTGTTCTTGTGTGTTGACCTGGAAGTAATCTGAATAGTTTAGTTTAAAATGATTATGAATTAACTGGAAGAGGAATTTCAGACGCTCAATCCTCGTCCTAAGTTCAGGACTATCCAGTCCAGCTTTTTTACAGAGTTCAGTAGGAGTTTTCTTGCAAAATAATGGTTTTGTGGCATCAGTGGTTCTGCAATGTTCAGGTTGTGGCTTGTTGAACAGCGGTTTAAGCTAGTGTACTGAAGAGTAAACGTAGGCTGTCTATGTAGTATATCGGTCAAGATCCACTTGAACAGTTGTATTACGAAACTGTGGCCTAAAATGAAATTTTATGAAACGCATGAAAATGCATTATTTGCAAGGCATTTCGGCAACACGTAAGTAGAAAAACATGTTAATCAAAAAAACATTATGCAGAATTGTGTCAACGAGATTCCACTGTAGAGGCTTTTATTGAAGGGGTCATTTGGCCTTTACGGCTCTGCAAATGCCATTTGCGCAGAAGCTTTTAGGGTGCATGTAGAGTACACATTTAGTAGAACTTGTGTTTGAGCTGATTGAAAGGAATTGTTTTCAAAGTACAAAAATCTTTCTAACATCTTCCATTAGATGTATGGCTTGCCCCTTTTAACTGTACGATATTCACACAGCTAGCAGCTTTCAAACTTTGCCCCCATCTTTTCGCTTCTCACGTAGAATACGTCATTTGCAGAAGTTACTAAGCATGCACCCATTGCACACATTCAAACACACTTCCTCAAGCTGCAGCATAAATATTCATACCCCGAATTCTTTACGGATGCAACAAAGATTCACACCTCTGTGTCTCCTATGCAGCGGTCAGCCTATCTTTTACAGATGCTGCTACCCTTCCGTTTTAACACAAGCATTTTTACAGTAGAAGCTCATCTGGTGCTTACGGCCGTGAAACACATTGAACAAACAAAACTACAAAGTGCTATAATATACACATATTCCCTAAGCATAGGAAAAACCCTGAAAACTCTGAAAAGTTGCAAAAACCACATCCTTGTCTCCCTTCACTCAGACGTATGCGCAGCGTACGCACTCAAACAGCATGTTGTTGTATGCTGGGTTCCAGAACACCGCGAGATATAAGAAAACGTCTTGGCGGACCAGTTAGCTGCAACCGCCAACGAAAGCATCGGCAATACGTTAATAGTTATCTCTGCACTTGACCTAAAAATTTTCTTTAAAAAAATCTCGGAGCACATCGGCAGAGCACATGGGATATATGTACACACACAGAATAAACTACACGTTGTCAAGCAGCACCTTAATAACTGGCCTCCAGTACAAAAATCATGCCGCACAGAAGTTACACTCGCAAGGCTGAGAATCGACGCACTTACAGTGCGCACTCATTCTTTCTGTCCGGTGATGATTCATCCATGTGTGACAGATGTGGTGAACCAGTCTCTGTACTCCACATTGTCATCCAATGTACTGCATTATACCCCGTCGGAAAAAAAGCATTTCTTATTAATCTACCAAGAACGAACACCGCTTCACCCATCGATGCTCATAGGCAGGGAACTGCCTTTTAATTGCTTGCATTTTTAAAAGGAGTCCATAGCTTCCATGTCCTATACCCAGACTATTTGTAGCATGACCTCCAAAAAGAGGTTCTTGCTGCAGTAACTACTACTATTTTGCAGAAAGCACCTGGCTCCTCCCTTTTAGGCCTCAAAGGCCTTGAGGAGGCATACGTGCTTTGCCAACACTCAGTTGTGCATATCATAGTCACTTGCGATTCATTGCACACTTATAGATCACCTTAGGCATCAGTCTTATAATTTTATATTTTATAGACAGTTTTTACGCTTGTTTGTAGCTCATGATTTTGGGCCTCTATACAGCCGCAACACACCCTGTCATTGTAAACATTGAGCATCGACACCACCACATAAGAGACATGGCGCTGTTTAGTCGCCCATGGCCCTTGCTCTACAAAACCTTACTAATCATCATTTTGGCTTCTCGTGGAATTCTTTAATTATTTAAACCATTTCTGATCTCTGCTGTCGCCTCGTTTTCCGTAATTGTGTTAAAAAAAAAAGATGTTTGAGGCGTTCTTTGTTACCTAACATTCAACTAAAGCTGCAGGAGCGTTGTCAGTTGCTTATATTTTTTTCTTTCGCTGTTTCTTTCTGCTTTAGGATCTTTCTTTTCTTACTGCTGAAAAAGCAAACAGCCGGGTGATCTTGGCCAATGACCCCGATGCAGACAGGCTAGCAGTTGCAGAAAAACAGTCCAGGTGAGTTTTGTTTCACCTCTAGTCTGATGCAGCAAACTTGCACTTGGAACAAAACATAAAGAGCTTAAATGAAATAATTTAATTCTAATGGGGGGGGATCCTCTGTTGAGGGCTTCACTGGACCAGCAAGTGATAATGTATATCGCAAATTCAGAGGCCCTCAGAGCTGCCCGCACGTCATCAGCAACAAAGATCTATCTGCAGTTCACATGCCCAGATTTCACATCTTTACATGATCTGTTGTAATAGCAAAAATAGTTCTTTCAGATTTTGCTGTGCGTTCTTACAGATGGAACTAACACGTGGTCACGTGAGGCATAATGATATGGCTGCTGTTACGGTACAGTACTTATGGGTCATGCATGTCATTTCACTTCATTTCATTTCATTTTATTACCTTGAAAGCCCAACATGGGCGTCACATAAGGCGTGGGTTTACATATTTTCATTATACAACAGTTGGAAATAACATGTGTATAAGCATTATTAAACACGGTATGAGTAATATGGGTACAGTACTATGGGTAAATATGGGTACATATCCCTTGTATTACGAAATTAGATGGTTTCTAGAGACATGACTGACTTTCAGCATATTTGGCTGCAAAAACTAGGAGCTGTGTTCTTGCTTCCGATGTGATTGTTGCATGCACGGACACGAGTGGTTTGCTCTCAGTCATAAAAGAAGGCAACGTATTCGAACACGAACACATGAGAAGAGAAGAAGACAACAAAACAGCATTTTGTTGTCTCTCGTCTTATGAAGTTTGCAAGCTCAGACAGTCAATGACAAAATACACAAAAGTGTTTGTGTTGTGATGTTTTTTCTCAATTCTGCTTAAAATTTTATTAATTGTACTCAGAGGACTGCATTATCATATTTCAAAAATAACATGTTGCTCATTTTAATAAGAACAAACTTACACATTTTCAAACATTGGGTTTTAAGAGCGTGTTCAGTACAGCGTAAATGACATGTCTTTTGGCAAGAAAATGGAATAACATGCTTTTTTTTTCTCTGACTTTGCAAAATTACAGTAATGAGGTGCTCATGTTACGTTTATTTGTGCATATTTTATATAATCTGTCTTTTGGTGCGAATTTTTTTATTTTTTCTTAAGTGCAGCCAGTGTGCTGTGTAGTAATGCCAGGTGGAACAACACAATTTGTTCACTTCAATGGGTGGTGCACAACCATGTGATCAATAATGTGCTTACTGGGCAACTTGGCTCTTGTGCTGTCTGGTTGTTATCCTTCACTGTCTTCATTTTTTCGTGGTTTCTTCTTCCGATAACCACATGATGTTTTCATTGTGTTGCAGTGGGGAGTGGAAAGTGTTCACAGGCAATGAAATTGGAGGCCTGCTTGGCTGGTGGCTGTGGCGATGCTACAGAATAAAGAACCCCAACACTCCTGGTAAGCAGATATACAGCTGTCTGAACTAATATTCGTAGTGGTCCTTGAAACCCTTAAAAATCCTTGAGTTTTATCAACGGAAGTTCGTTAATCCTTAATTTAGTGGATTTCTTTTGCACCCCTGGCAACTATGTGCTCTTAAGCTAAAGAAACTATCCACTCCAATCCGTTTCTCTAGCCTTATCGGAGTGTTGTAGTGCTCATGTGGTTACAGCAGCTATGACGGAACTAAGCCTTGCTTTTTGGTGGAGTCTGTGCAAGTGTGCGCACATTTTCGCAGTCTCGTCACTTATGGTGGAACTATGCCGGGCAAGTGCAAATTTCAGCAGTCTTCGTTATGCATTGCTGCTTATAGGGAGTGGATTGCAACAGATACGTCAAACTCACATCGGTCAAAGTCTAAGCTTTCTGGGAGGAGCTTTGACATGTCATCAATGGAGAAAGCCGCCCTAAAAAGTCACATGAAGAGTGTGAAACACATTGAGAACACGAAAGCGACTGCAGTCCATGGTAACTTGAGTGCGTTTGTGGTGCCAACCGTCATTGAGCTACGCGTATGCCCCGCCACGGTGGTCTAGTGACCAAGGTACTTGGCTGCTGACCCGCAAATCGCGGGATCAAATCCTGGCTGTCGCGGCTGCATTTTCGATGGAGGTGGAAATGTTGTAGGCCAGTGTACTCAGATTTGGGTGCACGTTAAAGAACCCCAGGTGGTCGAAATTTCCAGAGCCCTTCAATACGGCGTCTCTCTCATAATTATATGGTGGTTTTGGGATGTTAAACCTCACAAATCATCAATCGAGCAACACGTAGAGCCAGTTCCATTGTCCTGCGATGTGAGTAGCATCTGTCAAGCGCACGAGTGTGTGACCAATGCGGAGATACTGTGGACCTGAAGATGGTGATGTCCCACTATTCGTACAAGTCATTGTTCCACAAAAGAGACTTATTCAGGAAAATGTTCCTGAATAGCAGCATTGCTAAGGCATTCTCATGTGGGAAGAAGTCCGCTTATGTTGTGTGTCATAATCCAAGGCCATTTTTTTCTCTCCAGCTTGAAACGTAAAGTGGTGCAGTCGGATGGGTACACTATTCTTTTTGACAAGTCCTTGAATGACTACTTACAGAAGAAGCAGATGGACATCCACTTGCGGTTCTGGAGTGCAACGCCGGAGTTAGTAACGATGTGGTACATCATGTCGGTTTTCATGGGACATTCGATTGCCGAAGATCTCCAGTAGGAACTTCTGGGTACATTAACAGATTTGCCACTGGGGAAAGCTGTCCAGATGTCGATGGATCACCCCAATGTAAACCTGAAATGTTTCAGGGGAATGCAGGATTACTTGCTGAAAAATCAAGTTTAATGTTTGAACTTGGGCACCTGCGGTCTTCACATTGTTCATAATTTAAAGTCTCCACTCGTGCTTAAGGTGTGGAAATTCAGGCCAGCAATACTGAATAAATAAATAAATAAAAATATTGCTTACAGGGCGGGTGTCGCTGCCAGCAAGTGGGGCCTAGAAAGTCTTCTGCCAAGCCTCAGTGCCATGTTTCATGATGTGCCAGCACAAATAGAAAATTTCACCATTTTCACAAGCCAAGAGGCATTACCTCTGAACTTTGCTCCACATCGCTGGGTTGAGAATGTTGTTGTGATAGAACGTGCCATTGCACTGTGGGATGATATGAAGAAATACGTGGAATACACAAAAAGATGTGAACATTCCAAGGTGTGGGTCGTTCACACAGATATCCACTTTTATCCAGGACCTGCTGCTTTTGGCCAAACTTAAGTTCGCACTTGCCATCGCGATGATTCTAAAGCCATTCCTCACTGAGTACCAGCTGGACAAAATGCTGATCTTTCTGAAGAAGGATCTGGATAGTCTCGTAAGGCAACTCCTCACGAGGTTCGTAAAATGCACTCAAAATGGACCTCGCAGACCCAAATAACCCCGTGTCTTCTGAAAAGGTGGACATTGGGCATGCTGCTAGACAAACAAGGCTGCAAAGGTGAGCGCCAAAGAAGTATTTGTCTTTTAAACAGAATGCAAACTGTTCTTTATAGCTACAACTGAAAAACTCTCGCGAAGAGCCCACTGGCAAATCAGCTAGTTATGAGCCTGTCTTCGCTCGACCCCGTCAAATGGCCTCAAAGCCTAATGAGTCTTTTACAAGCTTTAGGAAAGTCCTATACGCACTTATAGCAGTTGGTCGGTTAGACGAGCATGAGTGCGATGCGGTGCTTAGTGAAGACGTTGAACTTCTGCCGGAGAAAAAGCGTAACCTGCGACAGTTGACAAGCACTCTGCTAGTCTGGATGAATTTTATCTTGAGCTGCTAAAGACTGATAGCAGTTGGTCGTATATGCACCTGTGGAAGGTTGCAAGACTTCTTCTAGTCTTCAGCCATGGACAGGCCTCTGTTGAAAGAGGTTTTAGCGTTAACTGACAGATATCTGTTGAAAACCTGTAGGAGATCTCACATGTGTCAAAGCGAATCATCTGTGATGCAGTAAGCAAGACTGGTGGTGTCATGAACATTGCAATAACAAAGGAGTTGCATAAATCTGTCTCGGCTGCACACAGCCGCTATCGGGCCTACTTGGGGGAGATGAAAAAACAAGTGAACAAGCAGGCAAAGGTATCAAAGAGAAGCCACATTGAGGAAGAAATTTACAGTATCAAAGTGAAGAGGCACAAGCTTAAAGAAACAGTCGCTGACTTGACAGTTTGCGCTGACTACACTGAACGAGCAGAAGCTACAAGTGACATCTCTTTTCTGAAAAACAGTCTGAAAAAAAAAACAGCAAAAGAAAAAACTTTGGAACTTGCAGAAGTGTATGAGAAGTTGAAAGAAAAGTTTCATGAACTCAATCTCTAGTTGTCTGCAAAGAAAGGGCCTTTGGTTTATATGTGTGTGTCTGTGTGCATTATGTTTTAAATTGGTGGTGCAATATGTGTTAATTTATCAAGCAAGCCATAAAAGTGGTTTTTGAAGCCTGTGATAAACAAAAAAGATGGAACTGGTGAATAATGTTAAGTCTTTGTTAGTTAGAAAATGATTGTTCAAATGTACTTGGTCTTGCCTCTGTGAAATAAAGTACACATTTTTATGCTGTAAAAAGTTGTCATTTTCCGGGTTTCAAGTGTTTTAGGTCCTTGAAAAGTATTCATTAGATCCTTGAAAGTCCTTGAAAACCCTTCAATTTTGCTACGCTCAGGTGCTATGAACATTAGTTTTACCCGTTCTATTTCTTGTCAAGTTCAACGCAATGTAGCAAGTAGGTGGACAGTTGGGCTTTGATTGTCATGCAAGTCATCGCACTCTGTTGCAGCGGAAAATGTTTACATGATCTCCAGCACTGTGTCCTCAAAGATCCTATCTTCTATAGCTGCGAAGGAAGGCTTCAAATTTGTTGTAAGTAGAACATAATTTACCAAGCTTCTTGTGTCTGTAAGAGGTTTGTAACCGCTCTTTACTCTGATGTGTCCTAATCAATTTCAGGTGTCATTATTGTAGGCACAGTTGTGTATGCTCAAGTATGTTGCATATGCTTGCAAACCATAGGCAACATATGATCAGGATAAAGTCAAATGTGAAAATAGTAAAAGCTAATCAGAACACTTGGTATTGTAACATTACTTTAGAATGTGTTATGCAGTCACTGTATACCACATTTTCAAGCCTAAATATAGCCACCCTTCAAAGTGCAGGGGGACCTGTAAACAGCAGTAAGCTTGATTCATTTTCCAAATGTTCACCTTTGAATGTTGATATACTAATTACTTTGCAAACCTTCACATTAGGTAAGCTAAAGATTAGGGGAAATGGCTGTAGATAAGACTGGTATATTACTCAGGCCTTTGCTCTTTTTGTTGATGGCAGTATATAGACATGATGAAGGCACTCACAGGCAACTCCAGGTGAACTCATTCTGTGTTCCTAGCTCTAGTTCATGTTACCTTAAGCACACTGTTTACATGTCTCAACAGACAAACAGTGTAAATACTGTCGAGGATGTTCTTGAGCTTGGAAAACTGAAACAGCGACAGTCCTGAAGTAAATGAATGAAGTAAGTTATGAAAGAGGAGGCAGTTGTGATAATGCTTCCATAGTGGTGTTTTCAACGTCTTCCCATGCTTCTGTATTGTTGCAACCTCCTTCTGTATTGTTGCAAGAGTCTGCAATTAAACCGAATTGTTGCAAGAGTCTGCAATTAAACTGAATTGTTGCAAGAGTCTGCAATTAAACTGAATGGATGGTGTGCCTCCAAACACACCTTCGTTCCAAGTTCTGCCCATAGTACAGACTACAAGCATGTGAATTCATATAGTCAATGTCCGTTTTTTTCTAATATTGTATCAGAATCATTGAAAATGCCGTATTTACTCGAATCTAGGACGACCTCCATTCTAAGCCGACCCCCTGCAAGCTTAAAGCCAGAAAAAAAAAAAAAACATACCTTGAATGTAGGCCGAATGAAACAGCGAAGACAGCGCTTCCAAACAGAAAACATTTATTGAACATGAAGATAAAACAAAACAGTTGGTTCATGATGCAAATAACTCGAGAAACATACAGTTGCAAGTGCTGTTGCGAATGTTCTCTTTGACATCATTTTTTGCACATTGTTTCAAGTTGCATCATAAAGATCCCATGCTTGCCGATGCTGCGATCATTTCGAGTCGTCGTCGCTGCTTCTCTCATTGAGGTCTTCTTTGTCACTGTCTTCAAAAAGTGCACAATTCTCAATGCCATCAAACTTACTGGATATGCCGCAATTTTTAAAAAAGTGCACAATAAATGTTCTCTGGTTTGTCGTCCCCCGCTGGAGCCCCTTCAGTGACGCTCCACTCAAAAGTTCCTCTCCATTCTCCTGTTTTCTTTACCGCAGGAAACACTCACTGGCTTCAAGTGGATGGGCAACAAGACATGTGAACTGATGAAGGCGGGCAAAACTGTCTTGCTCGCTTTTGAGGAAGCCATCGGTATGTATAAATGAAAACACTTACAACAGTTATATTAGTTCATCAGTACACGAAGAGCTGCTATTTGATACAAGAAAGATTTTGTATTTTTGCGATATTTAGTTTGATTACACTGTAAAAATTGTCAAGCATAGCATGTTTTCCTATCTTCTGGGGAATCGACCCGTCATTGGATTACACTGCTTATAGCAATTCTGATGATGCTCCTTATTGCACCACTGTTGTAATGCACAGTTACCAGGATTTCACTTTTTTCTCTAATATACTTAGTTTGATGCAAATTAGATTTAGCAGTTGCTTCAGAAAGAACTTCTGCATTTTATGTGCAAAAAATTAAAAAAAATGGCCTCGAGCTTGCGTTTTTTTAAATGTTCCCCTTTAATGCCCCTCTAATAAATTGATTGCTGTGGGCTTTTCATATTGTGCTAGTTGTCATACACGTCATGCTGAGCAATGTGTTTAAAGTGACTCTAAAGAGAAAAACTATTTTTTCTCATGTTCGCAAATTACTTTTCTACAATACTAAAATTACCATGCTTTCCATGAGAGGATGCTTTGTGAGTGAGAAAACATGCAAAAAAAAATGCAGGTGGCACACCACCTTTAAATTCTCGTACTAGTCACCGTGAAGTCATAGATTCTTACGACATGTTCTAGAGCCTGCATAGTTCCTAATTAGTAAAAAAGAAGTACATTGTCTCTGACTGGGCCAGAGGCTCAACATATCAGTTTTCAAAGAATTTCGTTCAGCCATTGTTTGAAAAATAGAAAAATATGCTTTGAAACCCATGACATGCAAGTATTTTGATTTGAAGTTTAATAATGAAAGAAACTCTGACCTGTTATTTTCTCCTCTATGAATAATACTACGATGTTGACTTGAACATCATTAGAGTCATCAAAGTATAATTAATCAATCTAAACAGATTCATTGTTTCATTCTAGTGTCGCTTCAGTGTAGCTCATCTTGATAGTGCTCTGATAAATGACATTGAATTCGGCGCAGGTTACATGTGTGGTACAGCGGTGATTGACAAGGACGGTGTGAGTGCTGCCATGCACGTAGCCCAGATGGCTGCCTACCTTGAGACACAGAAACTGACACTCACAGAACAGCTGAATGTCTTGTTTGACACGTGAGTGGCAGTGTTGTAGTACTATTAGGGCGCTGAAGTAAACATGCGCAAAGAACAAGGCGCTTTTTGTTACGTTCTTAAAAATACTTGCTGCTCATATGCTGCAAGGTACCATTTATTGCTGAAAATAGGGATGAACACTTGCTCGGTCACATATTCGTAATGCATGCAGAGCAGCTACTTCGGTAAGTGCTAGCCATGTCTCGAGAATTTAATGTCCGAGACACTTGGAACATGTGTTTGAGTTTAGAGGAACTTGGCACATAGTGTTAATGACTTCCTGGTGTACAACCAGGACACCAATGTATAAGAAGAAATGATTTGTTTACCTGGTAAAGCACTTTGGAAAATTGTTTTGAAACCTCCAGTAGACTCATACAAGTGAGACACTCGTAAAATTTGATTCACACTATTGGGGGTTTTTAAAAGTAGTTTTAGAAGATCTACCACACTTATTGTGCTCAAGTATCAAGTACAGAAAACAATAAATAAAAAACATAAAAATTTAATACCTGAAGACAGCTGAAAACTTAGGTTGTTGGGACTCCGGGTCCTGCCAGTCTCGTTTTCGGTAGCTGGCCCCGTAGCAGGATACATCGTCCGACAATTCAGCGAGAAGAAGCGCCCGAACGAACGACAGAGATTTATTTACATGTGGAGAAGTGATCAACTGATCCAAAGAGAGAAGAGAGAGAGATACAAAACGTCTTCGGCATTTTATAGCGCCGCGTTGCCGACACTGGGTGCACTGTCCGCATCGTCAGCTAATACGGTGGCTCCGGCACCTCAGCCACGAGAGAGGGGGAAACACCTCACAACACATGGAGTGGCACATCCCAACACGAGGTCCATATATGGTCACGGTGCCCTAAAATGTTACCAAACATGGTCACGAACGCACAGCAGACCCCGGAGCTCTCCCGGCGAGGAGGAACCCGAATGGGGAGGTGGGGGTGGACGACACCGTCAGGTCAAGAACCGGTTCTCCCCCAAACTCTTGCTGCTTGGCTCCCCAGGGCCGGTCGTAACACTCTCTCGCGCGGGGGGGTGAAGATCTCGATGGGCTGAGGTTTGCAGCCACTGTCCGGAGAGATCAGCGCCGGCAGTCGGTTTGGTGACGACCGTCTTTGATGAAGTAGAGGGCACCACCTGCTTCATTGTGGGCTCAACAGACATCACATACGCACATGAAAACACAACTACTCAGCTGGTGAGCGCCGGACAATTCCGCCTAACTCCTCCAGGCAATTTTCCCCTTTAACTGATAACAAAGCAAATACACAATTTATTCAAAATGTTACTCACACGTTAAGGGGACACAAAACAACAACACTGGAAGCACACCGAACACGAAACCCTGGATAGCCGTATCTTCAACGTTTTCAAACAAGTACACCTAAAAGAGTAAAAAAAAACAATCACTAGCTCTTGTCTAGGTCAGGAAAAAAAATGCCAGAGTTCTCGAGACATCCTCTCGCGTCAGGGGCATCGACTTAAGCCATCAGCGTTGCCATGGAGTACACCCTTTTTGTAGCGTATTTCAAACGTATATTGTTGCAAAACGAGGCTCCAACGCAGCAGGCGGCCGTTCTTAGAGGACATGGTCTGTAGCCAGGTGAGAGGACAGTGGTCCACTTCCACAATGAACTTGCTTCCGGCAATATAACAAGCCAGTTTCTGGACTGCCCAAACCAAGCACGCACATTCCTTTTCGCTAGCGCTGTAAACCTGCTCGCGAAGGGTGAGTTTCCGGCTAACATAGAGGACGGGATGCTCTTCATCCCCCTCATCCCTTTGACTAAGAACTGCCCCCATGCCTCTATCACTAGCGTCGCATTGGACTATGAAAGGCCTCGAGTAGTCCGGTGAACTAAGCAAAGGTTGGCTCGACAAGGCCGCTTTCAAAACGCGGAAAGCCTTTTCTTTCTCCGCATCCCAGTCGACCATTTGGGGCTCGGTCTTGCGCAACGCGTCAGTAAGAGTGCTGGCAATGTCGGAATATCTAGGGATGTACTTACGATAGTAACCAGCTATTCCAAGAAAAGCCCGAATCTCGGTTTTCGTTCGAGGCTGGGGAAAGTCTCGGATAGCTGCCACTTTCATTTCAGAGGGACGGCGATGCCCTCGACCGATAACATGCCCGAGATAGAGTACCTCTGCTTGTGCTAGCTGACACTTGGGCGCCTTTACCGTTAAACCTGCTTCGCGTAGGCGTGTCAGTACTGCTCTCAAATGCGCCAAGTGTTCTGGCCAGGACGAGGAAAACACGGCGACGTCGTCCAAGTAAGGCAATGCGAAGTCCTCTTGACCCCGCAAAACCTTATCCATTAAGTTTGAAAAACAGTAAGGCGCGTTCTTTAGGCCGAAACTCGACACTTTAGGGCGGAATGTCCCCAATGGTGAAATCAATGCAGCATACCGGCTCGCCCTCCCGGTGAGCTGCACCTGCCAGTAACCTCTCACTAGGTCTAGCGTTGAGATAAATTGCGTGCTGCTTACCCTCTCGACGCGTTCCTCAATGTGGGGAATTGGGTATGTCTGATCCTTGGTGATGAGGTTTAACTTACGATAGTCTACGCAAGGACGCGGATCTTTGCCGGGTACCTCCACAAGAATTAACGGGGAAGTGTAATCACTTTCACACGGCTCAATCATGCCCAATTCCAGCATCCTGTTAAGCTCTGCTTTTATTAGCTCAAGCCGGCGAGGTGACACCCGATACGTCTTAGATCTTACCGGTTCCGACGAGGTAAGCTCTATGTCATGAGTGAGGACGGATGTCCGGCCTGGCTCGCTTACAAATCTGTCCTGAAACTTGGTCAAAAGACCACGCAATTCCTGCTTCTGCTTCATTGTCAGCTGTGACTTTGATACTAAATCGTCAACTCTTTTCTCGATCGGGATTTCGTCCGATTCGGGAGCTAATTCAGGAATTTCTGCCGGAACCTCTTCCGGAACACTTAAAGTCATGTTCACGATGGCTTCCCTCTCTTTATAGGGTTTGAGTAAGTTGCTATGATACACCTGGTGTACCTTACGACTTCCTGGTAATTTTACCACATAGTTGGTGTCAGACAATTTTCGAGTAATCTCGGCTGGGGCCGACCCATTGCACTTCAAGCTTATTCTTTTGGGAGGGCCTCAACAACATGACCCTGTCTCCTACAGCAAAGTGTCGTGCTTTAGCTGTCCGATCGTAGTAAAGCTTAGCCTTCTGCTGTGCTTTGGTCATCGCACTCTCGGTCAGTTCTTGGGCTTTTGTTAGACGATCCAATAAGGTGAGGACATATTCCACTACTACAGGATCATCACCCTGACCTTCCCACGACTCTCTCAGCATACGAAGAGGAGACCGCAGTCTGCGGCCGTAAACAAGTTCCGCTGGCGTAAACCCTGTTGTCTCATGTGGTGCAGTTCTTAGTGCAAACATCGTTGCAGGTAAGCAGATTTCCCAGTCGTTTTTCGTTCAAAACACAAGGCTCTTAACACTCGCTTCATCACGGAGTGAAGCTTCTCTATCGAGTTCGACTGCGGATGGTAGACTGAACTATGCAATAATTTCACGCCACACCGCTCTAAAAAGGTTGTCGTTAAGGCACTCGTGAAAATGGTGCCCTGGTCTGATTGTATCTCGGCAGGAAAGCCTACCCGGGCAAACACGGACAGAAGTGCGTTCACTACTTCGACGGAACTTAGCTCTTTTAGCGGGACCGCCTCTGGAAATTTAGTAGCTGGGCAGATTAAGGTCAGGATGTGACGGTAGCCTGAAGTTGTCTTGGGCAAAGGACCTACTGTGTCAATTACCAACCGACGAAAGGGTTCCGTGATTACGGGTACCAGCTTCATTGGAAATTTCGCCTTATCTCCCGGCTTACCCACTCGCTGACACACATCGCAAGATTTTACAAACCTCTCTACATCTTTAAAGCATCCAGGCCAGTAGTATTCCTGTAAAAGACGATTTTTCGTCTTCTTTACGCCTAAGTGGCCTGACCATGATCCTCCATGCACCAAACTAAGCAAATCCTGACGATACACCTGAGGTACGACTACCTGGTCCAACTCTACTCCTCGCCTATCTAGATATTTTTGATAGAGTATGCCGCTCCTCTCTTGGAATCTCACATTTCATTTGGCGATTCCCTCTTTCGAACTGTCCTGAAATTGCTTAAGCGTCGGGTCCCCCTTTTGTTCGGTTATTAATGAAGTGGGGCTCACCTGCAGCAGCCGACTGAAATTATCCGAAGTTGGCATGACACACAACTCTTTTGTATTTCCTAGTACCTGGAATGTGTCACCCTCTGTGCTATCCTCTGTACTACCAGGAATCAACTTGGGAGCAACGGCATTTTCTATTTGCTCGGCCAACGAGGCGTAATTGACCCCTTCCAATTCGGGAGGAGGTTCATCGTCACCTTTAGGAATGGTTGCCTCCGCGACTACGGCTTCTGCAGCCTGTTCTCGCACAAGTCGATTTGTTACCGTGGTGTCCAACTCTCAACCAGGCCCGTTGTCGATTTGAGGCTTGTTTGCCTCAGTGAATGTTGCTCTCGCAGCCAGCGCACGTGCCTTCGATCTAGTCAGTGCCTGCACTATGCCTTCTCCCAACGTTAGACCTTTCTCCTTCAGCATTTGATCTGACTTATTTGAAAATAAGTAAGGATACTGAGAAGGTAGATATGGCGATACCGCGGCTTCCGTTTCCAACGTACCAAATGCGCCTTTAAGGACAACTTTAGCTACGGGAAGGCACTGACTGTTTGCTTCTACGGCTTGTCTAATCCAGGCACAGTCTCCTGAATACTGTCCGGACTGAACAAAAGACAGATGAACTACGTCCATAGTGGCTGCGGAGTCTCTAAGAACCCGACACTGCTTGCCGTTCACGGTAAGGTCGTACATATAGGGCTCTAACAACTTCATGTTCTCCCCGGCTTCATTTATAGATAAAAAGGCCACCTTTTCTTTCGGGCAGTGTTTCGCGAAGTGCCCTGTTTTGTGGCAATTGAAACAAGCAGCCGGTTTTCTCGCCTCAAATTTCCTTTTGCTTGCCTCTGCCGACGCCCCATGGTTAGATGAATTGTTTTCCTCACCCTTTTGTGCGAGACTTGTCGGTTGTTTTCTAAACGGTGCCTTATTCGGTAGTAGGAATTTTTCCCTTTTAGGCTCACTGTTTGCCCCGAGGGCGCGGCGCGTAACGAATTCTTCAGCGAGCTCTGCGGCTTTCGTTACGGTGTTTACGTCCGGTCTATCCTGCACCCAGAACCTCACCTTTTCTAGTAACCTTTGATAGAATTGTTCCAGACCGATACACTCGAGCACCTTGTCATGATTCCCATACGCCTTTGCCTCTTTGAGCCACTCCCCCATGTTGGCCATTAACTTGTAAGCAAACTCCGGGTATGAATCATTGTTCTCTTTTACGGCGTTGTGAAATTTTTGTCTGAAACCTTCCGCTGACAACCTGTATTTCTTGAGAAGGCTCGACTTCACCTCACTGTACTCGTCAGCCTCCTCTTTCGTGAGGCGCGCGATTACTTCTGAGGCCTCCCCCTTAAGTAGGGACAACAAGCGTTGAGGCCACGTATCCTGGCTGAAACCTTGCCTTTCACAAGTTCTCTCAAAGTTGACGAGAAACAGCCCAATGTCCTCCCCTAGCTTGTACGATCTCATTAGGTCCGTCATTTTGAACCTGACCCGCTCTGCGGTACCGGAAGCCTCGCTGCCTCCTGCTCTACTATTATGGCTAATCTCTAGCTTGAGGCGCTTCATTTCAAGCTCGTGCTTTCGCATCTTATCTGCCTCGGCTTCTGCCGCTTTCCTTTCGGCCTCCGCCGCCTTTCCTTCGGCCTCGACCGCCTTTCTTTCGGCCTCTGCCCCTTGCCTCTCCTGAATCTCCTCGACATATTCTGACAGCTCGTCATCCTCCGCCTCCAAAGCGAGAATCGCCTCTATCAGCTCTGGCTTTCTTTGAGAGTCCGACACCTCCAGATTCAACTCCCTTGCAAGTAGCAACAACATGGACTTTCGCAGGGATTTCAGATTCATGGCTGCTTCCAGTACCGCTGTCTCTGTTCCACAAAGATTCCTGTTCTGCAACTAATTAACCTTGACGGCAACGACAGCTCTAGATACCTGCCTTGCCTCAAGTTTTCCATTAACTTAGTCTACAAATAAAGCTTCAAAAAGCTCTTATACGGAATCCTGCCCTGCCACTGTTAACCTTGACGCCACTGACAGAAAGAGCTTAACCAAGCTCTCACACAATTTCTGCCTGACGCAAGTTACCTGTTAACCCAATGACTAAGACAGCCCCTCTCTACCAGCTTTTACTTAACACATAGAGTAAATGCCTGGTAAAATTTAACAGAGAAAGCCGGCACTCACCCAGTTCGCAGTCATGTCTCCGGCGTCGTGCCTCTCAGAAGTGCCGTTCGATTCCCTTTGGAAGTCGATGAGCTCGTGTCATTCTTCTCCTGTCGTCCCGTTGTTGAACTTCGGGCTCACTCCGTCCAGTGGTCGCTTTCGGGGTTATCGGCATCCCACCGCTGCCACCAGTTGTTGGGACTCCGGGTCCTGCCGGCCTCGTTTTCGGTAGCTGGCCCCGTAGCAGGATCCATCGTCCGACAATTCAGCGAGAAGAAGCGCCCGAACGAACGACAGAGATTTATTTACATGTGAAGTGATCAACTGATCCAAAGAGAGAAGAGAGAGAGATACAAAACGTCTTCGGCATTTTATAGCGCCGCGTTGCCGACACTGGGCGCACTGTCCGCATCGTCAGCTAATACGGTGGCTCCGGCACCTCAGCCACGAGAGAGGGGGAAACACCTCACAACACATGGAGTGGCACAACCTAACACGATGTCCATATATGGTCACGGCGCCCTAAAATATGCCCAAACATGGTCACGAACGCACAGCAGATTCCGGAATTCCCCCGGCGAGAGGGAGGAGCCTGAATGGGGAGGTGGGGTCGACGGCACAGTCGGTCAAGAACCGGTTCTCCCACAACTTCTCTTGCTTGGTTCCCTAGGGCCGGTCGTAACAAGGTGCATTTCTTGTGCTCGCATGGTAATTGATATGATTTTGTGCACTTGTATTAACTGTTGCGGAAATGTTGCTTGCAGTCATTGTGCAGACCCCTGCATTTTAGAAGAATACTGTTTCACCTAGCTTGCTCATCCTGTCTAACTTGCTCAGCCATTCTCAGTGGCATCGTGTTATTGGAGAAAATGTACCAAAATGTTATGAACACTTTCAGCTCTCTACATGTCAAGATTGCCAGTTCTTGTGCCTCCTAAAAAATGTTTTCATTATCATCAATGCCTTGTAGAGATACCTTGACGCTTTTTTCAAATACTTTTTCTGTGGTTATCAGCTCTGTAGGTTTCCGCATCGTGAATGATGCTGGCACGGTTTTTTGCGCCAAAAGAAATGCCGTTTGCTTTTCCTCTTATCTAACAGAGTCTGCATCTACTAATTCAAGCCTGTTTTTAAAAAGACACTAAAAAGTGATTTTTCTTGCATGAGTAAAATGCTTTTTCGTAGAACAAAAATTGTCATGCTTGCCACGAGAAGACAGTTGGCACTCGAGAAAAGTCCAAAAAGAAAATCTGAATGGCGACACCACCTTGGAACTATTGCTTAGAAGATTCCCTAAAGCTTATAGATTTTGACAGTGTGTACTAGGGCCTATGTAGTTCTGAACCGGTAAAAACGAAGTACATTGTCCTCTGTGGGTGCCAGAGGCTTAACATAGCCACATTCGGGAAATTGTGTTGATCGAATGTCACTAAAATATATAGAGCACTCTTTTAAATCCTTGACTTCACTCACGTAAATTTTGGTGCAAAATTTCAAAAATGGAACTGTGACCATTGTTTTATTCTATAGTATCAAGAAACCCATTATAGTGATGATACCGTCGTTGGAGTTTTCAGAATATAATTTATCAATCAGAACATGTTCATATTTTAACATCAGGGTCCCTTTAGGTCAGGGGGCTGACTTTCTGGTTTTGCATGTAGTTCCATGGAAAAACGAACATGTGTTGAAGCCTTCTTTTTCATTTGGGAATTTGTCTCAAGCTTTGTCTTAACGTGTATCTTCTGAGCTTTGGCACCTGTTTATCTGTATATAGGTGTGCCCGTGTGTCTGGATTAGGTTTATGCGAATACTCATATGAATTTTACATTACCTGAATTCACTTCGATTCGAATTTAATTTTTTGAAAATTTCCAAGTGCTCGAAATGAACATAAAGGTTATATTAGTGAGCATGTAAGCCTTTGTAAAGCTTGTTTCACTGCAGTGGAGAGGGGCAAACCGCGAAAGCATCTGTTGAAGTGTGTACTAAGTTGCATGCAATTTTTTGTAAAGGTGCTTTCACTGCTATAACGGGTGTTAAACAATAAAGCCATCTTCTCAGAGAAAATTGGCACTGCCGCGAAGTCCCACTTCAAGGTTAAATGAACATATTTCCTTCACATCGATTCATCAATTTTCAAGTTTAAAAGCTTTTTATACTATCTTAAATGTAAAAAGCTTCTACTATGAGCATTTACATCAAGTATAGTGAATTTTAAAACTTCTCATATTTTACAGGTTACCTTTTGAATTCTACCGAAAGAGAAATCTTGCTACTGTTCAAAGTTGTTTTCACTTCCTTTGAACCAAAAAGAAGGGCATTTGCATTGGCCTTGTTTCAATTTAAAAAAATATAGTGCAGGTTAGTAGGTATATGACAGATATTCCATTTGTCCTTGTATTGTGTGATATATGCTGTCTGAATTCGATTCGAAATTAGTCGACCAAAACCGCTATGAACTCACTTTGAACCTATAATTTAACTATTCACACAAGCCTAGTCTGAATGTGTGGATTATTAGATGTGTCTGCGCTTTTGTTCCTCCTGTTGAAACATAGACATTGGTTCACATAACAATATTGAATTTTTAAATGCCTTATTTGCACGATTTTGTTGCAGCAATAACATAGAACTATTTTTCTCTTCTAGCTATGGCTATCATGTGTCCAATAACTCTTATTACATCTGCCATCACCAACCAACAATTCAGAAGATGTTCGAGCGGTTACGGAATTACAGTGGCAAAGACACGGTAACACTAGTCTCATTCACAGATGTGTATTTTTTGCCGATATTGGTATTTCCTTTACAAATGTGTGTCTTTTGTTATTCAGTATCCACGCAAGATCGGCACGTACACCATCAAGAACATCAGGGACCTCACTACGGGATATGATGACACGCAGCCTAACAAGAAGGCCGTGAGTATCTTAAAAAATGTCAGTCTTGTTTTGGTAAACTTCGATGCACGACAGGGTCGAACAGCTGCGTGTCCACATGCACTGCTACGTAGTGGCGTGGGGTAGCACGACCCTATAAGTCATGGAGGGAATGCGACCAGGTGGGAACGTAGACGGGCATGCATACCTGCCAACTCTCCCGAATTGTCTGGGAGACTCCCGAATTTCGACTTAATCTCCCAATCGTACCAATGGTATCTAGAATCTCCTGTAAAGTGGCCATGACAGATGAGACGTGCTTCTCTTATTTAGATCAAGCGCGTATGTCAGCCTTTCTTGCTGTGAAGGTTGCAGTGCTACAGAAGAGCACTCGCCACTACTCTTTTAGTTCTTTTAACCATACCATAAAGTACTGCTAAGTATATATTATAGGCACTTTTTGCGGCGAGCTCATGCTGTAAGTGGCAGCACCGTCCCCATGGTAGTGTGGGTAGGCGGTCGGCGGCATGTATTCAATGTTTGCATCTATTCTCATCATTTGTGGACACCAGTTTTTTCTCTTTGAAAATGATTTTTTTTTTGTTTGTTGTTTGTTCATGTGAAACCATTTGAAATGAGTCTCTCTCTACTTTGTCTTTTTTCTTGCGCTGATGTGTTTTCTTTCTCGGCTTCCGATTACTCCGGGAAGCAGCTCCATGTTAAATTCAAACTCACTTTCTTTCATGGTCAGTAGTAGGCTTCGCATTTCTGCAATTTCTTGTAGTGCACCAGTCGAATGTTAGCTGTACTATGGTTAGCTGTGCTATAGCTAGGTATGCTGGAAGTGTTACTTGCACTATACCGTATTTACTCGCATAATCCTCGCACTTTTTTTGCCGGAAAACCGATAAAAAGTTGGGGAGTGCGAGAATTACGCGGGGAAAACATTCTAAGAAAACGTACAGAGCGAAAAAACAAAACGAAGTGGCCGCAAATCGGGATTCTCACACTAGCAACTAACAACAAGCTTTAAGAAGTACTAATTAAAACTTACTTCAGCAATAAAAGCAGAGGTTCAACACAAGACAAGATTTATTTGAGACACAAAAAGTGGAAGCAAATAGTCGAGAATTAGAATACCATACGCAAAGCTTGCGGGCGCAGCGGTAGCGTTCGTCGCTCACAGGAGCCCTCAAAAGGTAAGCGTGGGACGTCAGTATTGGGCTGATGGCTATTTAACAGAATTGTCCACAGTTTCCTTCTGAAGAAATAAAGTTTACCATCTATCGCAGTTTTAGGCACACGGCAGGCCCAATGCGTCTTGGTGGCTTTCAGCAGCCATCACCAGTAGCGAACACAAAACTCGTAGACGACAAAGGGCCTACCGGCGGCACTGTTGCCGTTCTTTTGTGCATGATGTATCACTTGCAACTTGAAAGCAGCCGTACAGCTTCAGTGTCGCCTCATAACTTGACAAGGTTACAGACGCTACATACAAAACACGCCACAACGCGCACTGGCCACTTCGGCTTGGCTTGAATTGAATCAAATTTCTGTGCAATAGTACGCTTGATGCTTAAGAGATGGCACCAGATGGTGTGCGCTATCACTATCAGTGGCTGGAAAGAGCAGACGACATTATTGCAGCAGTTTTCGGGAGTGCAATAATTACTCGAGGAAAAAAAATCGTATTTTTGTTGGGCGATGTGAGGAGTGCGAGAATTATGCGAGTGCGAGGATTACGCGAGTAAATTCGGTAATAATGCATGGGAAAGATGCGACACAAAATTTTTTTTTTTATGCTAAGCTGGGTTCCCGAGCTCACAATTCGCACTAGGCTTCCATAGACAAATTCAGTATTGTTGGGGCACTTGTTGCAAGAAATTGTTTACATCTGGTTTGCATTCTCTTCATGATAGTTTTTTAATGAAGATATCTGTGTGTGCATGTTTTTGTTTTAAGAAATACTTGTAGGAATTTCTGTACACAGACCTCAACATGATTTACGCGTGTTCATGCAAATAGGTGTGCATTGTTTAAAGAGAAGTAACGTGTTCATTTCAGATACTTCCCACGAGCAAGTCCAGCCAAATGATCACATTCTACTTGGACAATGGCTGTGTCATTACCATTCGAACAAGTGGCACGGAGCCAAAGATCAAATATTATAGCGAGCTGTGCTTGAAACCTGGTGCTGACAGAAAGTAAGTCTGTCTTTTGTTGGTATCAACAGAGAGTTTTAGGGCTGATTACTCCAGCTCTTTCATTCTTTTGTATTTTCTTTGTGGGCAGTTGGCGGACAGAACACGCTGGCAGAGTACGAAAGGGTGCAAAGAGCTTGGAGCACCTAGCTTTGAAGGACTGCAACAATAAAGCTCTCTAATTTCGAATTTTGAGTGTAGCTAATTTTGTTTTGTTTGAAAGCTCAAAAGTGTTATCAGCTGGTGTGAGCTGGCTGGCATTAAAAGGAAAGCATTTAAGTTGTGAAGTCACTCACGTGTCTAAAACAGGAAGTAGATTTATGAACGCTGCCTCATCTTTGCAAGATCTGTGAATAAAAAAACTCGGAATGTCTCTCAGGGCTTGTAACAAGCACATATGTTTTGTGACTGGCTGTCAATCACAATGAAAAACAGTTCTCTGTTGATATTTTTTAAAACAAGCCTAACTCAAATTAATTCGCTGATTACTTAGTTGAAGGGACTCTAAAAAGAAAGAATGAATTGGTTTATATTGATGATTTGTATTCTTCAGACAACAGTGCCGTTGCTTTCACTGTCGAAGACATGTCATACAGGATAAATTTAAGTTCAAAGTTTTGTTTCTTAATTTCGCGCCACAATCTCTGCACCAAGCATCTCGAATTTCAAAGTGAACTTTTTCCTATTTTGGGGAAATCGGCTCATTGAATTTCATTGAAACTTGGTATGTTGAGTCTATGGGCTGTTCAGAGGACAATGTACTCCATTTTTACCAATAAGGAACCACGTAGGCGCAGTAGACACTGTCAAAATCAATGACATCACAGCGACTGGTGTGGGAATTTCAAGCTCGCATTGCCCCTTGAATTTTCTTTTTGCACATTTTCTCTCCCGTCAAGCATGTTCTCATTGCGAGCGTAATGATTTAAAGTAATGGGAATGAATAATTTGCTAATACGGTAAAAGTTGTGTAGGCATGTTAGTATTATTTTTATTTGTTAATGACGATGCCATAAGGTGTTATGCTATTTTTTGTAACTGTTGCATTGTGTGGTTTTGTTATCCTAATTTTTAATAACATTTCCATTCTAGGTCATGGAAGAAGTTTGATGATGAACTGAGTCACATTATATCTTTGATGGTTCAGGAATTTTACCAACCTGAGCTGAATGGCCTGAAACCAAGGGCCGAATAATTAGCTGGCAACATTGCTCTTTACCAACATTTTATTGGTTTTTAATTGAGAGTTGCAATGCAACAAATGAATTAAAAGAAAACGAAAGGAATGCAGCTTATGTTAAATATTCGGCTGCTATTAATGTGTTATACAGTCCAGATTTATTTTTTAATATATTACATAGCTGTCTATAAATAATGCATTTATCCAAAATAAATGTTCCTTATTTTCATCAAATTTCACTCCGCTTTGAATTATTGCTTTTAAAATGCTTATAGTTAATTCAAGTCGTACTTGGTGGCATGCTTTCTGAAAAAGTTTTAAAGCATTTTGACCATGACAAACATTTTTGTTGAATCCTGGACAGGGTTTCTCATCGTTGGAGTATTAAGTGTGCTTTGTGTAGTAGGACTGACAATTGGGCAATTTGGTATGTAGTCATAATAATTAAGTGGCATTACGAAGTATGAGGAAAGGTGCGGAGGAACACACAAAACACTTGTGCAAAACTCTCAAATGAACTTTTATTCGCTTGCAGCACAAAAAAATATTTGCCTTGCAGTACGAAGAGATATTGTGATGGTGAGAGGGTTATTCTTTTATGTTTCTTTTTGTTTGTCTGTTATCTGTGTATAGCAATGGGTAGGTATATTATTTTATTCTGCACATGTGAATAAAAGTTCTGTTGAGAGTTCTGCACTTGTGTGTTTTGTGTGTTCCTCCTTGATTTTTCCATTCTTAGTGGTGCAGTTTCATCAAGCCTGCCTAAGGCAAGATTGCGTCGAAATTTCAAGCAGCGACGTGGCTCAGCGATTGAATGCTGGACTGGCACGCAAGAGACGCAGGTTCAAATTCCGCCGTGTTTTTTTGTTTACTCTTTTCTCTTCTTTCTTATTTCGTGCTATAGTGCTTGCAGACACCGGTGGCGGCTGCAGACAACTACAGCACCACACGCGACCTTTGTTGTGATCTCCTAACAGCTTTCGCTGTAAAATGGGGTAGTCGAGGATTAGGGGAATTAGAGACACCTCTTGGTTAAATATTGTAGCTATTGTTAGTCCACATACACTAGTAAGTTTTCTTTCTGGTTTTCAGTCACGCTCTGAGTGAGTGAGTGAGTCAGATTGACTGTATTCAAAATATTCATAGGAGGCTGAGTAGGGGCTATTCTGACCCTCAAGTCAGCGTTGTCACCCTCAAGTCAGGATGGCGTTGGCAGCTGAAGGCTTGTAGCAATGTCCCCGGCCCTCTGGACCGCCTAAAGTTGCTGCTTGTAATCGTTGCTCTTGAAGGCTTCCTGCCAAGCCTCTTGGGTGTTTAGTCGTCCGTGCTGTGGGCGAGGCACAGCCAAACCATGCGTTCAAAGATGCAATAGGCACCCGATAGTGGACCAGAGGGCGCGACTAATCTTTTTGGACTGTCTCAGCATTGTTGGTACAGACCCCCAGGGATACCAAGAAAGGGCGTTGACACTGAGACGCTGCAGTGTCAACGCCCTTTTCGCTGCAGTGTCAACGCCCTTTTCAGCACGTTTTCAAAGAATGCTTCCTGGGCGCTTACATAATCAGCTGTGACCCCCCTGCTCACAACTGAAAAAGAAAATAATATGCACGTGCAAGTCCGTTTCGCTGCATCTGCTCGATCGCTAGGCTACACATTGGAAGGCTCGGTTTTGCTGTGCCTACTCGCCAGGCTGTATTCTGGTGCCACCATCAGATCTCGTAAACTGCATTGCCGGATACCTATAGGGATGGTTGCAAAGCGAGCATGTGCGTGGTGTGTGTAGGCCGACTTCGTGTAAAGTGGATGGTGTTAAGTACGTGCGCGTTTGCCAGTGGCGTAACAACTCTTTCGCGAGGGGGGGGGGGTGGTGAACGTACCTCACTCGTCAGCAGAGATACTCTCTCTCTACCTTTTTATATATATATATATGTGACGTATGAGCGACGGTTGGTAGAAGATGAGGAAGAAGTGCAGAACAGAATAAACATGGGGTATGCGCCAGGCCACGTCGCCCATTCATCGTAGCGTCACACGAGTCGACAGGATGAAGACCTGGCCACCACTCATCAACCTCACATCATTCACGAAGCCACCTGCAGTACGCCTCAACTGAATATCGACCACAGAAGAGGTGATCTCAGGCGCATTCAGTTACCAGCACCATGACAGAACCATCGACTGAGCTCGACATCCCCAAGTACACCGGATCAGCGGACGACGGACCCGTACAGGACTGGTTCAACCTATTCGAGGTCCACGCCGCCGCTGCATCCTGGTCAGAACAGGAGATGGTCACCAACTTTACCGACTACGTCACTGGTGAGGCTTTTAAATTTTACCTCACCCACATATTCGACAACGACGAAACATGGCAAAAAATCAAAGAAGAAATGATCATTCGATTTAAAGATTACGATGAGGATTCACTTACAACCCGTGATCTGAAGGCAATCGATCTCAGTTGTCACAACCACCAGCAGTCTTCAAGCACTAAAACAGCCAAATCGAGTCGCCCATTCCCATTCCGACAAGACCTCTTCAAACATCCGCTCACTGAAAGACATCAAGGTCTATTTCCACGAAGAGTTAATCTTCCACCTTGTTTTGCTACGGCACGACAATTGACCTCTACACCATTACTGCACCATAGGACTCGTGTTACCGAACCATCCAGTGCACTGTACTCCCCGCATCGTACACTTGGCCCACCACCTGGTTTTCCGTCACTTTGCTCTTCAGTTACTGACAACGCCCACCTCACGCCTCACACGCTCGCTACGGTTGGTATACAGCTGAGGAACTCCGAATATACTCAGCCAAGCTCAGGGTCTATCGTCCATATTCATGCATTAGAACAGTCGACCTGCAAAGTTGCGCAGACACAGAAACAATCCCAAGCAAAATCCGACCAAATCAAGCGTTTGTCAGTGTCGCCGTCGAGTTCCCAGCCACCTAAGAGTCCAAAAAAACACAGTGGGCTCGGAAAAATCAACTCACTGCACTGTACCAGAAGCGTCTATTAAGAACGGCGTTGCAAGAGCCTTCAAAGACTTCTCTGTCGATTCTAGTGCACCACCTTCATTTTCTTTCGAGAATCGCGACAACCCAACGACAACCAACTATCTACTAGTCACATCAACTATGAAGAAAAAGCAGGCTCGTGTTACTAAACGAGTACCACCTCGTAAGATTCCGCAACATCAGCAGTGCCATCAAGAACTCAAAGAACTCCTGAAACTACGGCAGTTACATCAAGCACAACGACGAACTAAAATGAGATCACAAGCAGATCTGTGGCTTAAGGATGGTCGTCAGAAACGACACCAACTAAAGGAAAGATCAAGTCAACATTTGAGCCATATTCGTAGAAGGAAACGTCAAAGAAGTCTTCTGTACGAGATATCAAGGCTTCGTGTACTCTCCTACCGATGGAGATACCACCACAGAAAACCACGAAAGAGACTGAACGTTACCATTTGCAAATTGCGGGTACATAGACATCGTATCATCAACTTCGGATCTCGTGAACGCAATCCTGAAGCAATGCTTCTGTTTCAGCCACGACAAAGAATACAGCACCCGCGGCAGAAAACTCGGCGCCTACGACGTCCGACCTTCAAATTCTACAAGGACGTCCAGCATCGTTGGTTCTTCGCAGCTGCTGAAGCCGTGTCATGGTCAGTGCAGTTGTGCAGGACGCGGTTATCTTCTCCAGAACGCCACAGTCAGCCTCGCCCACCAGAACTTCTGCGTAAACCGGACTGCTGCACGATCTCCTGAAGTCTTTGAAAGTTTACGGAACTCCCCTGAAGCATAGAACCGATTATGTATTTTGACATTTGTGACTTTTCAATCTCTCCTTGTTTACTACTTCTCGTTCGTAATCCGTGCCTTCTTTCGGGGGTAGGGGGAATCGTGTGACGTATGAGCGACGGTTGGTAGAAGATGAGGAAGAAGTGCAGAACAGAATAAACATGGGGTATGCGCCAGGCCACGTCGCCCATTCATCGTAGCGTCACATATATATATATATATATATAATGTAGAGAGAGAGAGAGAGAACTACTTGAATACGCTCGCAGTTGTATATGAATTCGCATACACGGAGCTGACACGATGCGCTTTCTTAGATACTACGAAGCTCAATCACATTTCAACAGGCCAAGGAATGTCGCCCTTAGCCCAATTTTCGCGTCCAATATGTGACGCTTATCTTGATGTCACACCTCTTTCTCCGATTATGCTTTGAAGGTTAATATCTACAGATACTACAATGGTTTGTCTAATAAATTCACTATGGATGTTAGTCGTTGTGTACCAAGCGTCAACGAGGATACAAACACGTCGAACGGTGCTATAGCTGCCAAACACCAAAAAATACATTCGGCAAACTTTCCTCAATCAATGTACTGTAAATATTTCATTACCCCTTTAAAAGTGCGTTTTACTTTCGTGTTATATGCCGATTCTTGTGACAAAGGGATCAACCATGTTTTTTAACGAATGATTGCTGTTATATGTTTTATAACAATTATTACACTATCTTGCATATATTCAGGCTTGTGTGTATTATAAATTGACTCGTTTCTAATAGTCTGAACACTGTTTCTGGAGCGCGCAATCAATAATTATATTGCTGTTGCTATATTACTGTTATTAACTTGTTATCAACTTCTGAACATTTTAGTTTGAAAGTGTATAATTTGCGGTGTTAGGGGCATACTGCATCTTTTAAACCCATTGTATTTGTACTGACATTTCTTAAGGGGTCCCGACGCACCTGCATAAATACGCCAATACAAACGGGGTAAACAAAATTTTTCTTTGCAAGAACAAAATGTGGGCGATTATAAGGTTAAACTACCCTCGTTGCTTCATTTCTAAATGGTCGTAAGCTGTATATAATTGGTGTGAACAGTCTGTCATGTACACAGCACTGGCTTGTTATGCGAGGCATCAATTGACCCGAAAATGATCCATTGCATAATAACCACTTATGAAAAACCACGTAAAAAAATAATAGAATGGACCATTTTCGATGCGGCATATTGTTTGCCATTGGTTCTTCGGCATTTAAAATTTTCTGTGTGCCACTAAATTGCCTGTTTGTTAAATGACGTCGCGACGCTGGAGAGCATCTCCTTCTAATTTTAGTTCAAGTAGGCTAGCTGCCAATCGCATAAGCAGTGGCTATTTATTGCAGGTGGCGAGGTGAATTATGAGTATAATAAAATATTTCTACTTGCAGCATAACGGTGTTTAGTAGTTTGTGTGCGTATACATCTCTGTGAGCTCATACTTTCCGAGAGAAAAATGAGTAGAGAGAAATAAGGAGCGCTGCATGTGTGTGCTGCTTTGCTGTCCGAGATGTATTTCGAGCTATAAAAGACAAAGTTCAGTGAAAACCAACTATAGCCTGGCTCTTAAGCCTCCATATTGCTGAAAACCACGGTTCCTTGTTCGGTGGGTCAAGTTGTGGGGCAAGCTTAAGAGCTTGAGTTCACAGCGTTATTCTTGGCCAGTTTGCAACGTGCCACTGTGGCTCCAAGTTACCATAAGCAAGTTTATCAGGTTTACCAGAGACTAAAGCGACAACAATTTTCGGTGTTTCAGTACGGAAAACTTCCAAAACGATCAGTCACACCCATCGGCTTGCAACAGCTTCGGCAGAGCAGCGTTGATGATATATCCTTTTC